TAAGATTAATATATAATAATTTTTAATATAATAAAGGTATTATTTAATAGACCTTACGGGCTTATTATATGTAAATAGAAGCTTAAAGGTTAAACGTTTACGATGTCGTTAACTATTCCTCCCAACTGCTCGGCTCTGGTGACTTTACCTTCCGAAGTGTGAAGAGACTTTAGCTGTGAGGAGGAGGCAACGAGGATCCTTCACTCTGGTCATCATTCGTTGGAATGTGAATTCGATGCTGGAGAGTGGCCACCTAAGCCCATGGTTGCTGCGAACCAGCCTATACCTGTAAATAGTATTGCCGGGTAGAATAGTCCTCATAAGTGAACTGAATCTTTTCATAAACGCGAGAACTAGAAGAGGCGGTAATGATAACTACTTGTCTCTGTAAACGCGCTGTTATATGTAATGCTACCTGAATACCCGCTTCAGGCTATTCTCGCCTTGCACGGACCCTAACAACTCGGGGCTGCATAGATTCCATAGGCACCACAATCTGCTTTGTGAAAGTTGCTAATATATCTTGCCGTTCCTCAAACATCCAAATAATGACGTGAAAGCCCTGGGCTGCCCTGAAACCCAATGCAAAGGATGGAGATTCAAGCAAATCTTCCTGGTTAATAGGCTGTTCCCACTGGAGAGAGTCCTAAGAGGCAACGGTACTTTACCAGTAACATTTAAGCATAACAGCATACTTTATTACTTTAAATACCTTGCATTATTCTGGGATTCGAAGCTAATATCGTTTCAATCAATAACTCCCTGGGGCAGAAATGCTACAAAGTCCAGAGGTGCCAATTCCGCGCGGTCCGCCTTTCCTACGACCTTGAAGATATCCCCTTTGGCAATCTTGACATTTGGGAACGTGATACGGGCTTTGGAAGCGCCATCTGGCTCTTTCATTGCTGCGCGGCTGAGGGTTGATTCCAGATTGCCAACCCACTTCCCCAAAGACTTGCCGTTCAGATACGCTTCCCACTGTGAAGTCCCACCGAGGATATCAAAATACACAACTGCGACGTCATATCTCCCAGGCTCGAAGTCGAGCTTCGCACTAGCTGTGGCCACTGTACTATTACCTAGTGTTACGAGAGACGTGGCAGTAGAGGCAGACTTGATAGGGTCTAGCACGGCGGTCTTGTATCCGCTGTAAGACATAGCCTCGGCCTCTATACGCCATGGATGGTGTCCAGCACGTCCCGCCTCGTCAGGAACCTCTGTAAGGTTGTGATAATAGTCCACAATGGAGTCTCTCCACACGATCGAATGACCTGCTTGGAAAGTGAGCTGGAAAAGAACAGAATTGAAACGTTCCTCGTCAACATATTTTTGAGCTCCCATCCATAACTTTGGAAAAGTATGTGCCGTTTCGGCCCCAGCATAATGGGCATCGTAGAGATTCTGTATTACTGTCTTTCCAGTCGGAAGCTTGTGTGTGTAGTTGACGTGATGATACCATAGGATCATGTTCGTGGGTGTGGTTTCTATGTCTTCGAATTTCTTTGCCAATGCGGGAGGGTATTGACCGGAGAAGCCTGTACCATTCGCCACAGTACGATCCATACCGATAGAGAATGAATCAGATCGAGTCCAGATACCATAAGGGTTGTCATCGCCAGCTCGGACATTCGGTCCGAAGTGGTTATTCGTAACATCTGTAAGGGTCGGCAGTCCCAGGTCTCCACTGCTATAGTTCAGATATGCCGGCCATGACTCCATGGCGATACGCGTGACGATATCTGTCACTTGACGATGAAGACCGAAATTCAGACGACTCCACGATTTAATAATTGCTTCGGGATCATCGATAGGGTTCCAGGCCAAGCGGCCAAATGCATAAAGGTTAGACATAGAGAGATGGCTACCAGTCCATGTCTGGCTCATCCCTACATTCGCTACACCTGAGAATGCACCAATCCGACGGTTGAACCGCTTGCCCGAGATGATGTCTCGCACAAAAGATGGCTTATCATCAACACGAAGATCCGTATCTAATATCTCTTTCCAGAGAGGAGCCAGGTAGACGGTATGTGCTTGCTGTCCCAGGTACTCTTGTGCGATCTGAAGCTCAATACCAGCGTTGGCATTCTTAAAGTATCCAAATAAGGGATGTGCAGGTTCCCGAACTTGGAAATCGAGTGGACCGTACTTCATCTGAAGGATAATGTTATCATGGAATTTTCCATCGAGACCTTGGAACGCATTATATGCCTCTGCAGAGCGATCTGCCTTCCAGTCGGTGATATTAAGCATCTCATACACAAATGTGCGGAATAGGACGATTCCTCCATGCGGTCTGAGGACATCTCCGAAGAGATTTGCTCCTTCGGCCAGCGTGCGATTGTAGGTGAGCGGTCCTGGTTGTCCTTCGGAGTTGGCTTTGACAAGGTACCCTGCAAGGTTTGGAATTTCATCATAGATCAGGTTTTTGATGTCTTCCCACCAGGAGATAACGGATGGCTCGAGTGGATCAAACGTCGATAGCCCACCCAAAGTCTGCGGGGAAGCAAAGTTGAGTGCAAGGCCAATTTGTACGCCGTACGGCTTTATTATTGCCGCGATTTCGCCAAGTCCACGAATATTGTCCGGTTTCAGGGTGATAGGGTTGGCGTTGACGTTGGTCAGGATGGCACCGTTTATACCGATGGACGCCAGCAACCGGCCGTACTGCTTCACCCGGGCCTTGTCAGGCATAGTCTTGTTTTGCGCAAAGAAGATTGATTTGCCGCCGTAGCCGCGTTCAATAGTGCCGTCCATATTATCCCACTCATTGGTCCAGCGGATAGCGTTGGTTGGATTGGAGACGTAGGAAATGTCTGAGAAGTTGCCTTGGGAAAGCATGGATGCGTATTCAAAGGCGCCATAGAGTGCGCCCCTCTCATTATGGCCGATAATCTTAACGGAACTACCCTTGATACGGAGCCAAAACCCGTCTTCCTCGAGAGGCGCGGGGAGTTGTGCCTTGCCACACCCATCATGATAGGCGTCAAGACTGCCCACAATTATGGAGTTCTGGTGGTCGCAGCCCTTGAATTTACGCGGGATCTGCTCTCCAAAGATACCCGCGAAGGCGTCCTCTAACTCGGTGCCAGCAGTGTATACGGGGCTGGATTTGGTTGCATTGAGAGTGATGATGCTCTTGGGATGCTTGAAGTCGTTGGGGGCTTTGTACGGTAGCTTCTTGTAGCGAAGCCAGCCATCAATGCCCGTCTCAGCCACAGCTAGGCCATATAGTGCCAGAGACGACACCACTGCTGTCCGAAATAGCATACTGCCAGTTTATGACCTTATGGAGGCCACTAGGATAGAGACGACAGGAAATAGTGATAAAGGGACATGGGAGCTTCAAGGTTCATCACTCGCGAAGGACAACCTACTTATTATCATTTAACTTAGAGGAATGCATTATCACCTACATTTGATGTACGCACAAGGCTGGGCATGACGCTCATGTGAGCCCGAAGAGACAAGCCTCGCACAAAACGAATTCAGCCTAATATACCATCAACGCGATGATGAGGCAAGAAATAACCCACCTGGCAGGGCTGGCTTCCTGAATCAGTTTGGATAGGATCATCGACAATTGCATAAGCCCTTCAAACACGACGTTTTAATTGGTGGAATTTGGACTCATTGCAGATCATGGTATAGCCGGGAAACAGTCTCAAACCCCTGAAATTGACAAACAAACAAATCTTTGGGATCAAACAAGAATGCGGGGTTTGCGGGGAGATTCGACAAGACCCGGGACACTAAAGATGCAACCAACAGCCGGACCAATGATGAATACTAGATCCTGTTCGGTCTGTCCATCACTCTTGTTTTCTCACAGCGACTGCCGCTTAGTCACCTCGGCGTGCTGTCCGGACATCGCAAACGTCTGGAGGCATGAGCCAACTGCATGCCGGACGGTACACAACGATAATATTGGCTTTTGCCTAAATAGTTCCGATCTCTGACTTGTACTCATAGTCTTTTGGCAAATATTACATCTTATCAAAGCCCCGCAGGATAAATCCTCCATCGTCAGACATCAAAAACAAGTTGTATGTCGAAACTGTGGCAAGATCGGCATTCTTACCGCAGCCTGAATGGTTTCCGTTCTCATTGCAGCATGAAGAATCCTCTCCTAAGATAAGAGTGTGTTGCATCGGCTACCCGACCGTCCTAGAAGTTACTGATGGCTCCAGCTATCACAAATAAGCTCTCCGAAGAACATGGCTCTCTACGTTGCCAGCATCTGCAGCGCTTTGGTACTCGCAAATCTCCTTACATCTTCCTTGTGCATTGCCATTGATGCATCTTTATCTAGCACAAAGGTACTAGACGCCATTGTTATCCCTAACTCCGACAATGTCCGTGGCTATCTGCATCTCCCAACCGAACTACCGGCGTACCCAGGTCTAAACATACATTGGAAATCGTCGCATCCAGCTGTGGTGTCCGATAAGCCTCGTGGTAGAATTGCTGCGGGTGTCGTCAAGCGGCCGGCCGTCGGCTCTGATGCTATCACGGTCCATTTGATTGCTTGCCTCAAATATGGCGGCTATCAGCCGCTTTGTCGCCAGCTTCCAGTCACGGTGCAACCATCCGTTGACGTTGCCCAGTTCTCCCGTTACGCCATGACAAACTTTGCAAGGTCAAATTCCAACATAGGCCAGCAAGTTTACTTTGCAACGAGCGTGGGGAACAATCCGACGGCCTGGGTAGCCAACAATGACGGCAAAGCTGTCCTTAACTCTACCAAGGGCATGCATGGCACCCGGGATCCCGTGGTTGTACGCACACCAGAGGGCGACAGGTTCTTTCTCATTGCATCTGATCTCAATGTTGACGGGGTAGAGTACGGATGGAAGGACTGGGATTGGGCTCAAAGTGGTGCGAGTCGCTACATTGAGGTCTGGGAATCTGACGACCTGCGTAACTGGTCTCAACAACGCCATGTCCTCGTGTCGCCGGAGGAAGCTGGGATGACATATGCTCCAGAGGCTATCTGGGATCCCGAAATCGGGGAATTTGTTGTCTTTTGGACTTCTAGCATGTACCCAAAAGGGACGCACTACTCCGCTGACAAAAGCGATCCCAATGGCCGTTATCCGTTGACCGGAGGGCAGACATTGTATTCAACGACTCGGGATTTTGTCAACTTTAGCCCTGCAAAAGTGATGACAGCGCGAACTGGCCACGGAACGCTGGATCCAGTTATTATCCCGGACGGGAATGCATACTACCAACGCATAGTTTCCGACCGCAACTCAACAGGAGTAAATCTTACTTGGTATGGACTACCATGTGATTCAGAAGACCTCTACCAAGAAAGAGCACGATCAATCCTCGCACAGCCAGATGGATGGGAGCTCGTTGCAACATGCATCACCCATCGCACAATGAACACCACGTACGCCGAAGGCCCGCTGGTCTTCAAAGCAAACCATGGGGATCCTCGGGGCAAAGGCTTCTACATGTATGCAGACCAAAAGTGGGCTGGTTCGCCATCAGGAGAATTCATGGAAGAGCAGTACCAACCTTACTGGACCGCGGATGTTGGAAAGCCAGACTGGCGGCCAATCAACTGGACGCAGAAGCCTGATTATGATCTGTCACTCGGCGTCATTCGACACGGCCACATCTGGTCTCTTACTACCGCTGAACATGCAGCCCTTCGCGGGGCAAATTTACTCTCTATTGAGATAATTCCCCCCAAGAAGCGCTTCTACAGAATTGGCGAGTCTCTTGACCTCGAGGGCATGGTTGTATCTGCGCGATACTCGGACGGTATCACAGATGACAAGTTATTTGAGGGTTATGGCGGATATTCGATCTCTGGCTTTGATTCCCGCAAAAAAGGCAAGCAAGCAGTTAAGGTCTCGTACTCTGTGGTTGATATTACCAAATCAGCCTCGTTTACTGTGGCAGTGAAGTATTGATAAAGTACTCCAAGTTGCAAGCCATTACCCTTTATGACAAATAACAAGGTATAACTTACGGATTTTAACCTCATGAGGACTGGGCTATGAGACTGACCAGGTTGCTGCCGTTCCCCTGAGGCTTGGCAGTGCGCTACTTGGTCTCTTGTGATTCTTTGTGCGTGGTCCTCTAGGTTTCTGTAGCGAAACACACCAATGCCAACCAGCAATAGTATAGTATATATCTCTCTAAGCCTAATAGAATGTGTTTACAGTATGATAATCAGAATTTAAATACCTAATTAAGGTTACTTCTTATAACCTATTTTTCTTCCTATATGCACTAAGCATCTTCTTATCAAGCTTCTCTATACCTTCCAAATTTCTCTCCTCTAAATCATCCTCAAGTTCAGACTCTCCTACTTTTTGGTAGGTGAAAAGAAGTTGTCCCTCATCACCCCGACGCCATCGAACAATTTTGAATAGTCTTGGTGGAATCAGTGACGTGTTATTTCCCCCTGTTCGCACGTCTGGGTCGCTCTTAAAGTAAGTAAGAAGAGCAAAAGGATGCGAATTATGGACAACTCTCTCGTCACACCATGTCGGAGCCCAGTTAAAAGCCAGCCTTGAGATCTCAAATCGCTCGTAGTTGGGGTTTTCTCGGTGACCATACAGTAATTGGAGAGACTTGCGATCTTCTCGTCGCTTTGGTCGGTTCAGCCAGTGCTCGTACTGGCGAGGCCATTTGTCTCGCACCTCAGCAACGGGTAGATAGGTAGGTCTATATCGGAACAAGGCTTTACCTTCTGGTTCTTCTGGATCCTCTGACCATTTTTCGATTGTGGGTATGAGATCAGGGTGGAGGACAGGATCTCCTACGGTCTGAACCCAAAAGTCTCCTTGGCTCCTGTCCTTAAATCCAACGATCTTGAGGACTTGAACATCAACTTCGTCGTAGGGCCGCCCTGCAGGCCTTCCGTCGGCACCCATACGGGCGTGCCAGTATGTGCAAACAGCAGCATTATCAAACTTTTGAACCGTGGCCTCTGGAATCCAGTGATGGACAGGCTTTTTAGTACTCTCTTTGAAAGCAACACGCAATTCGAAATATCGTTGCTCGGGAGATACTCTGTAACCATCGATATACTGCGGAGATCCATTCTTGAGCAATTGCATAAAATTCTTCTCGGACTGATCGATGAAACAATCGCCGATGTAGCTAGAGTCAGGGTCGGCCCGGATGTTATCCTCCGGTGTCACCACTTCTTCTTTTAGCCGAGGTGTCTCTGATAGAGAATCTGTCTCATCAGATCCCGTGTCTGTGGTGTCTGACGTCTGTGTATCCTCTAGAGCCTCGGAGGCACTAGGCTCTGCTCGTTCAATAATACGAAAAAGCTCGTTCTCAAGCGCTTGAACCTGGGACTATATAGAGTCAGAAAGCCTGACGTGGACTAGAGAACGTACAGACCTGACGAGTCCGTAGGTGTGTTTTCAGGTCATCTAGTGAGTGAAGAGTGGCTTCGCAGCAAGGGCACTCCATAGGATACGCTAGTGTTGCCATCCTAATTTAGGTGTTGAAGGCCGAAAACGTTATGGGCAGATACGAAAGAGCGGATCCTCATTGCCATGGAAAGCCTCGATTGCGGGGAAATCTTCTCATGGCATCGGCCGAGGGTCTTCCGAAGTTTTAGCTGCATTCTTCCGATGTCTTCTACAAATGCCAGGCATATCAAAGCTGCCGCAGCCAATGCGGAATCGCCCCTAGAAGCAGGGATAGTAATCTACCAATTAAGGTCAAATTTGTTCTCTCATTCCTATCTTGTATATTCTCTACCTGTTCTCACTTCTACAACCCTCCTATTCAAATGCCACAAGGGCGAAAGTTATGGAAACTTAACTTGTTTGGATTCACTGGATGCCCTATACTTACGAATAAGACCATGTCCCAGCGGAAGTTTGGGTTGTTCCGTCAATGGTTTACTAATCTCCTTCATGTATCTACGTAAGCATATATAACACTGGATCATCTTAATTACCATGTAGTTCGCACAATGAAATTGAACTATACTCGGACTATGTATGATTAGACCATTGCATGAACCATTTCATTTATTTCAGTAGCGATTGGCAAAAACTGTGCTTATCTGCCACTAAGTTTAAGGTTGCGGGTCGCGATCAGTCTACGCCGATCAGGGCCATTAAACTAGCTCTTAGTTCTCTGTTCTGATTCTGTCTGCCGACTCAAGCTCTCAGCCATGAGTCTCAACTGCAAATAAGATATCTAACTCAAGACTTAGACACTGATCATGAACAGTGTTCTACTCAACCTGCTTCTCATGTCTTCGTTGATCCGCACTAATCCAGTAAACACCCTTCCGTGCTTGGATCAAGGGGTCGTTGGATGACTTGATACCTTCAATGCCGCCCTTCTCCGGGTTAGGTTTGAATGCAATCTGCTGCTGCCGAGCAGCATTGTCATCCGAAACCTTGTTGATCTCCAGCTTGCCAATGGGGATGAACGTCTTGCTCTTGTATGGTATGGTAGCGTCATCTAGCACATCGTCCGGGCCCGCAATATGCGCTTGAATGGTCAGCACGATTGGCTTATCTGGGAAGCGCTCTCGGAGATCATCCTCCAAGTAGTCATTGCCTAGCTTCGCAAGCACTTCTTTGTCCTCAGGAGTCTTGTTGGGGTAAAGGTGCTCCCCATCAGCAGGGTCGAGACGGTAGCGGACGTTTGTAACGTCGCCGTCTTTATTGGTCAAGACGTGAGTGTTGGGCTCGTAGTACGTGATGGTTCCGTAGTTATGAGGATTGGGCTTCTCCGAGGTAACAAAGACAGCAGCAGACTTGTGCTCGGGGTTTCCAAGGAAAGACAAAAACGCAGCGTGGGCCTGATCATAAGCCTTCTGCTCTTTGGAGTAGTCTCCTCCACCAGCCTTGGCCTTCTTGAGCTGCGCGTCGGTAAACCCATCAGCGCCGAAGAGCTTGAGGAAGGTAAGAAAGTCTTCGCCATTTCGGGTTGCAAATCCATTGAATGAGTGGCTGATCAGATCAGTGTGAGTGTTCTCATCAATCTGGAAGCGAATAGCGACGCCCTTGGGCGTAGCACCATCGGCCACGTCTGCAACATGGGGGAGACCGCCGCCAACAGAAAACCGTGCTATCACCTTGGTCGAAGGATTGTTGAAGTGGGCAGCTGTGGAAAGCTTCTTGGCCTCTTCTGTTGGCGTAAAAGTACCCTCGACAAGAAGACCTTTGGCATGAGCTGTAGAGGCAAACTGTGAGCCCTGGATCAAGATCGATTGTTTGAAAATACTTACTTGTTCGGTAGCCAGGATGCTTGCCAAAGATTGCTTGCATAGCATTGACCAAGTCCTGAGGGAGCTGGTCTTTTGGCTGTTGAGTCTCGGTCGACGAAACATTTGGAGCAGGTTTGGATGTTTGGTCTGGTGTGCTGGTCACACCAGTGCTGGGGTAAACTATTTGCGTAGACATGATGAAAGCAGTTTGTAGATAGGTAGGTGATGGGAAATTTGTCTGATGGTGAGTTTGAAGCGAGAAGAGCGGATATTTGAGCATCAGACGAAGCTGACCTTGAGGGACTCAGCACACAACTCTTGCGAGTTCCTGCTAGTTTTCAGCTCTCAACCCAACAGAATAATCACGAAAGAAGGGTTACTGTTCCAAAGCGGCCGCTGCCAAGTTGAGGGAGGCGTTCCGGACTCTATCGCCCACCACTAGTAATCCTGCAGTCAAGACATGGAGTAAGATTAAGGTTCCAGACTTGTTTCCATCGCGAAGACTCCATCAGCTTGCATTTCAGCCAGCCACAGCGATGTCAAGATTGCTTACGCTGACAGGAGGGGTAGAGCATGCGTGCAGCATATTCTGGAATTATCCCATATTGCGCTGCTGGAAAAGCTCGATATTACCAGGGATTATTTACGCTAATCAACTGTCGACTGGACAAGAATCTTCCTCCTCGAATAGCGGCATACATGTAATATTCGTATACCGAGCTAGGTAAAGTTTAAGCTTTATGTAGAGTCGCGATAAAGCATTTGGCTGCCAGAGCAGACTTGGCGAAGCGGAAAGAATGATCCGAAACATTGGATGCTATACGCGGGCGGGGATGGTTCTATCGTCATTGCGATAATAACGTGGCTTAGTGACGAAATCCAAGACACACATGCCTAGCTTGAACGTCAGCACCTTTTCTTCAGTCGTGATTGGGCTGCACAACCAACCTTGCTTATAGCGATGCATAGAACGTGCGTTAATGGATTTTAGACCAAATAGTCGCTGCAGTTGCGGATCCCGCCGTTTTGTTCTTAGTTCAGGCCACGTAGCCTATTTCAGTCACGTCTAAGGCCCTAAAACGCGCTAGAATGAGCCCCAATGCCAATTCAGGTCCGACTAGCCAGCCACAATAGAAATGTCTAGCCGTTTTGCAGAAGATAACAAGCCGAACTAGTGCCAACTGAAACAATTGAGATCTAGCAGAGCCTAAATCTGTTTGTTGAGCGTGATGACCAAATGCACACCGCTCATTTGCGCAGCTGTCAATTATCCCCTCTGAGAGTGGCCAGCTCGCTCGTATAGCCCCGGTTGATTATATGCATATGCCTTTATTAGGAATTGCTGAAGCAGGGACTTAGAGCACGGTCTTCCCTGTATGATTTCGCGCTTACTCAGATCCGTGCGCTGAATTGATCGGCTTGTCCGCTTGATTACTCCCTGCAGTTAATAGTTTGAGCAAGTATTGTTGTCTAGCCTTAGTGCGTGGTGAGGTGAATGGCCTTGGACGCTTAGGTACCTAGTTCGATGCAGGCTCGGGCCGCGCGGTCTGGGGCCATCTGTTCGTTTACCGAAGCTAACTCACAAACGTGAAGACTGTGCTCCTTGACGAGGCCCGGTCGTTTTCTTGAGATGCAGATATGTGCCCGTGGCTGGCTGAGAGACATGGTTCTGCTCTTGTGGCGAGCTGAGTTTGTGATCCGAAACATCGCATATTCTAGACCCGTATGGACCAGTATCTGCTTACGGACCTGGACTGTTTGTGTTCAACGCCAAGGCGATGTTGGCTGAGGGTCAGTCTTCGGTCAGCGGCCGCGAGTTTCCATATTTGGTAGAGCAACTAAGATTGAAAGGTAAATAAGATATAAAGTAGTTGAGAAAGCATCAACTAAAATCTCTATTCACTTTCTTCATCCCCTCATCATTACATCTTCATCTTTACCAAGCAAGCACATCTTTCACCATGGCAGCAGCACCTCCTCTTGCACCTCGTCCTCCTCAGTTGACATTGGACGAGATTCTCAACTCCAAGGTCAACTATGCTGTTGAAGACGATCCTCTCGAGGTTTGGGACAAGGGCGTCTTCCTAAACGAGCTTCTCAGACAGGGTATCGTCCTCAGCACTGACAAGACTGGCGCCCTCGATGGCAAGCTTGTTGCGCGCAAGGGTCTTCAGACTGGCACCTATATGGGTACCCGATTAGCCTTGACTGAGTTGTACAAGATTCTCGAAGAAGCGTAAGCAAGACCATCTGCGTTAATTATTATGCAACCGGCTGACGTTTGACAGGGCCGCCTCTCATTTTGACACTCAAGGATATGAGCCCATCTTCCCCGTCAAGCGTGATCTCGCTGTCAAGCAGGACATTTACCAATGGAGCGACCCTAGCGATGCCTACCCTCCCCATTTGAACACTCTTCCCAAGGAAGAGCAACAAAGTGCAGATGGAGGCCCCAGAAAAGACGGCGTCGGACAGATCTTTAACCAGACCGAGGTTGGCTTTGTCCAAAAGCTTGCTTTCATGTTCTCCTTCATCATCCCCAAGGAACTCTCATCAACCGATGGTCCCTACGTCGGCCCAACTCTTGCCGACGTTGAGAAGTGGAGCAAGGACAATCAGCCAGATAAAGAAACAGCCGATGGCCAGGGTGCAAATTCCAATGGTGCTGTTGTCAATGGCGTCAAGCAAAGCCAGAACGCAGACATCATGAAGGGCAGAAACATGGGTGAACACGATGATTGGTACTCTGATGCCAAGTTTGCGCAGCAGCACTTTAGCGGTGTTAACCCATCGACCATCGAGACTGCTCCTGCTGAGAAGATCAAGGCTTACATTGCCGAGGCAGAGAAGCAAGGCCTTGACGCGGTGAAGAAGTTGCTCGAGGAAGGCAAAGATCTTTTGATCCAGGATTATTCCTACTTCCGTGAAGCCACTGGCGTCAAGGACGACGAAGAGTTCAAAAACACCATTCCGAACCCTGATCCCAACGGACAACCCAGCTATCGGTACGCTGCCGCCTCGGTCGTTGTCTTCCAGCTTCACGAGGACGGCCGCCTTCACCCGCTGGCCATCACCCTTGACTACAAGGGCTCTCTCGACAACTCCGTCACCATCTTCAACCAGAGATTGAACCCTGATGACAAGGGCAAAGTCGCTGAGAAGGACGACTGGCCTTGGAGATACGCCAAGACCGTTGCCCAAACAGCGGACTGGGCACGACACGAGGTCGCTACTCACCTTGTCGATACACACATGGTCGAGGAGGCTATTATCGTCGCCACCAACCGAACCATTCCCGAGCGTCACATTCTCTACGAGATCCTCAGTCCGCATTGGTTCCGAACCCTTGCTCTCAACGACGCGGCGCGCAAGCTTCTGGTCCCTCTCGTCATTGCTCGCATCTCCGGTTTCGCCTCTGGGGCCAAGCGTGATCCTAAGGTCGGTGCTTTTGGACTGGTAAACTGGTCGTACGAGAATTTCAACTTTCAGGATAAGTACATTCCCAATGATCTCAAGAAACGAGGCTTTGACATCGAGGGGGAGAAGGGTGATAAGTACCGCAATTATCCTTATGCTACTGATATGTATCTCCTCTGGGGTATTATCAGGGAGTTTGTCAAGTCTGTTCTTGAGACGAAGTATACGTCGGATGATGTCGTGGCCAAGGAAGCTTGTATCGCCGACTGGTGCAAGGAGATTCAGACCAGTGGCCGGATTCCTTCTTTCCCTACCATCACCACAGTCGATCAGCTCATCGACGCCGTCACCATGTGCATCCACACTGCATCACCCCAGCACACAGCTGTCAACTACCTCCAGGACTACTACTACAGCTTCGTCCCCTCCAAGCCCCCCGCGCTCTGTACTCCCCTGCCCAAGACCCTCAGCGATCTTCAGGGCTATAAGGAGCAACATCTCACCGATGCTCTCCCCATCGGTCTCAAGGACGCCAAGTGGAAGGACTGGCTCCTCGCTGCGCAGTTGCCCGAGCTGTTGAGCTTCAAGGTTGAGGACCGATACAACCTCATCACCTACGCCAAGTCGTTGTACAACGTGAACAAGGACCGCACCATCACTGAGAACAAGGAGTTGAACTCGGAAGCTATCAAGGACGCGGCTGAGGTTTTCTACAGTCGGCTTAAGAATGCGAGTCTGGCATTTGAGTATGTCTCTGCAATACAGACTCCTGGTTCTATTGAGTACCCTGTTCTCCAGCCAGAGGTCACCGCTGTTTCCATCTTGATTTAGAGAACTCTATTTGGTGAGATTTCGGTCTTGGGTTCACATCACAATCAGTTGCATAGCTTTTTAATTTATATGTTATCGAGAAATGAGCTTCAAAGTGTGCAAAGATTCCCCGTGAACATTTAATTCAGCATGACTTCGTGAAAGTGTATCTTGGGTCTTGCCCAGCTAGAGTTCTGCGAAAAGGCATCTGTCTGCAATATCAAGCCGTCATTGACCTTGTAGAATTTGGAAGACCATTCCACCATACGCTTCGAGTGGCGATAAGAAACTTTGAGCTCGAGCGCGTCTCAACTCTCATTCAAAAACATTCGCGAGACATCAGTGACGTATTTTCCGCATCAGCGACGCGTTCAATGTGTCTCAGACAGTGCCCGAGTCTCACTCTCCCCGTCTCTTGGCGTTACTTTGCCGCCGCCTTCTTCGCGTTAACAACAGAAGCGAAGCGCTGCCAACATCCAATCCCCTCGATCCAGCAGCTCAGAACCCACTTCCACCATAACAATCCCCATCTCGGAACGCCATGTGGCATTAATCTTGTGCGGTCAAATGCCACAGCCTCGATGGAGTGTATCACGATAAGTGGCGGGACCCCAGTCTTGACAATCCAGCGAAACGTGTCTGCACTACCCGGCGAGATATTATCGAGAGTTTGCCAGATCTCGTTGTTTTCGGATATCAAGGTGACGCCAGCTAAGCATAAATAAGAGAATACGGCGCCTCCAAAGACGAGGGCGGTGATGCCGCGTGGTCTCGCGTATTCGGTGATCTTTACTGGTGGTGAGCGCGTAGACATGGTGACGGAATTCGCCTAATTGGCGGTTAAATATGGTACGCGACGCGTTATGACAGTGGTGAAATTCCTTGAGACTGTTCAAGGGCGAACATTATTTATCCCAATTGTGATGAGAGAAGATGGGCTATTTAAACAATTTTACAGCCGAGGTTGTCCAAGTTTGCGAGCCACTAGATCCATAAAATGCCATTTGATAGTCGTTGTTCGGAGTATGCTAATTCTACATTGATACTAGCTTGCGAGTAGACAAGCCTCGAGAGATGCTCCTCTGTTGTTGGTAATGCCTCAGGCATCATATCCTACTCCACTCTGCCACCAACAAAATGGACATGTCATTACAGAATGAGTATAGCGCCAAATCAACCGAGAAAGACAGGTCCCTACCCGGTAGTCTCTCGACAGCAGTTGTATATAATTATGTGGGAGGCGATAGGGATGAATGCTGCCTATAAGGTTAAGCTTTAGGCTGCGAACACAGATAATGAATGACAACACGATATTTATAATGAATGACAACACGATATTTTTTTCCCCGATATAAGCTTTTACCCATAAGCTTTCACGATGACCAATAAATCTTGTTGCAAGCCCTAACTAATTATCTGGGAGGCGTTCAATACCGCGTAGGATATAAACAAAATATGTTTATGTTTTTTCCATATTTTGTATGACTTACAGCTTCTTCCAACGCCTCGATTTCTACCAAGCCAAAATTGAAAAGGTCTTCGTCCTGAAGACTTTGTGTTTTCTCCATTTGCCCGACTGTAGTTTCAAGTCAGCTCAATTCAAAAGTCGTCATGAAGGAATCACTTCTTGAGCTCGATCCGCAAGCAGACGCCCTGCTGATTCTTCAGAAGCCGAACTTGCATTCACCTCCCGAACTACTAAATGAGTTTGCACCGATATCCAGTACGGTTTGCCACCATTTCAACAGCCCCATTCCCTTTTGTTCTGAAACGGAAGAAGATGAAATGGATGAGATGAGATGGCTAGACCCATATTTAGAGAATGGCGATCCAAACCAGGTTGTGTTTCGCGTCTCTGCCAAGCACCTCTGCCTTGCGTCACCAGTCTTCCGAAGAATGATCCAGGGCAAATTCAAAGAGTCAGAACCAAACGAACAAGGCCTTTTAGAGATCAGAGCCCCAGAGTGGAATGCCGAAGCTTTCCTCATCGTCCTTGACATTATACATGGCCATCACTCCTGCGTTCCCACTCAACCAAGTCTACAAGTCGTAGCACAGGTCGGTGTTATAGTCGACTATTATGACTGCCTCGAGGTTGTTCGAATATTCTTCCAGGGTTGGCACTTATCAATGAAGATTTGGGATAAATACTCAACTCGGCTGTCTGAAGAGGATGGCATCATGGGTATAAAACCGTTTGGCCATGAAGCAACGACTGCTTTGTTCATGGCCTGGGTAGTCCGGGACCAAGTACGGTTCACTGCATTGACTATCTCCGCAGTGCTAAGCACAAATGCACTTATCGAGACTACTCTGCCTATACCCGCTCAAATTCTTGGTACGCTCAAATACCTTAGTACCCTATTACAGGTACAATCACTGACCCAAACTAGAAGCAATCAACAATCAGCGGTGTGCAGTCATTGATGATATAATTTCCCAGATCTATAATTTGAAAGACTACGTGGTCTCTGGATTCGTTGGGTGCAATGTCGAATGCTCTCTCAGACTCCTGGAAGTTCTCTTCAGACAAATGAATAAGCTGAATTTGCCAATGCTAAGGCCGGAACGTCCCCTTTGGTGGTATACTGTTATTTCACTTGTCACTAATATGGGCCCTTCCGGTACTAGTGTTTCTTCCCGAAAATGCCATTGCACACTTCAGTCTCACCTCAACATACCCCGGAATAAGGAAGACTTGAACATTGCTGTGCCAGGCCTGAACCTAAAGGACTTCCAGTAAGCGAGTCTCGGATTGCTCAATAATAGACTTGTTGCAAACATTCTACAAAGCGGCTAAAAACAAGAGAATAGCCCGAATTGCTGGTCTTACAAGGAGATATTTCAGATCTGTCTGGACATCTCGTTCCTTGCTCGTTTAGACAAACGCAGACCCCTGCACCTATGCTCGAAAGGGAATAGCGGATATAGCCAGCTATGACTTCTCTGACGTCGGAGGAAGCGAAATGTCGGAATTAATCCCAAAGCGGCTACTACCGGGCCCAGACCAGGGGTAGCGAGAGATGGATGTAACCTGTTTCACTGTTTGGAACCGTTTCATTGGTCTCGACCTGAACACCAGGCGTTGCTCGTCTCATCCAATCTCTGCAAACCTTCCCCAGCCTCACGACAATAGGCGGTATGCTATTGTAGGAGTCTGACTTGGCAAGGGGAAACTACGCCGCACGCGTTTTGGATGGCAGCGCTAAACGAGGCATCGCAGGAGGTGTTTTGCTTCACGAGAAAAGTATAAATCCCAGGCTTCGAGTCGTCGGTCTTTGGATCTTCAGTACTCACTCAACAATCTCATCTAATCACTACTTTCAATTCTCTTCCGCTGGTCGGTTAATCCATTTCGCATCCTATATCTTCTTCATCACCATCAATCGTCCAGAAATTAACCAAAAAAAAAACCCCTTCTTCAACAATCCAAAATGCAGCTCTCTATCACCGCCATTGTTCTCGGCCTCGCTGCCGTTGCCTCCGCCGGCATCGTCGACACTGAGGGTGTGCGCAACGCCCCTCGCAGCGCTGTTCTCATCACCCGTCAAAATGGTCAGAACGGCGGCCGACCTGTCCCCAGCGGCGAATGCTGTGTCGCCAACACCAGCTTGAAGCAGGACGCTTGCACTGCTTCCAACGGCCAAGCCGGTCGCTGCGTTCCCGGTGGAAACAACTGTGAGTAACATCAGTCAATGCCGAGTGGAATATGTAGCTAACGATGATCATAGGTGGTGGACGACTGAGCTGCGTTGCTCAGGCGAACCTGCAGTGCGATGCCAACGTCATTGAGCGCGGAAAGGATCTTTGCCGCGCCAAGGCCGCTAACGGTCTCTTTGATGGTGGCAACATCATCCAGAACCTTAGCCAGGCTAAGGTCAACTAAGGGACAGGTTAAGAAGGAGAATTGTAGTTAGAAGGATGACCTGGCGTTGAGGACCGATGTATGAAGGAGTTATGGGATCTGGAATGGATCTATCATAAAAATATTATTTTTGGCCAAAATAAGACCTCAAACCACGTTGTGATTAGACCAGTAGCCTCAAACCCCATTAGTAAGTGTTTCACTGTTCAGCGGGTCAGTGCATTGTATTTTCAAGCATTCTCACAAATCATTGAAGGACATTCAGAGATGGGCTGTACTTCGGAAAACAAAGCGGACCCCTACGCCCGATTAAAGTGTTAAAATAAGCAGAGCCTCAAGTGCATATGCTATAAAGGTTCTCATTAAAGAGTTCCATGCAATCCTATAATCAGTACGCGTTGGTGGCCCTGTATCCCTGTTGTGATTGGATATCTATTTCCTGTGGCTGCATAATGTCGGGCCTCATTTCAACCCGTATAGCATCGTTGTTTCTGAAGTTCTGCTAAGATGCTACAGCCTGGTTTACAATTATATAAAGGATACTTGACCTCTACCCTCGTACCTGGATTGTTACTTCATTAAAATCTATAAAGTATATACAATCTTTTATAGGAATCATCAACAGCCTCCTCACTTTCCATTGTCCAGATACATCCTGAGAAGGTAATCAAACCCTCCAAACTACTAGACAAAGCTTATACTAATACAAGAGCTAAGAAATGCCGGACTTGAGTTTTGAAGTACAAGTTGGGGGTATTATAATTGCAACTGTTGCTCTTGGGGTCGCAGCTGGAGAGTATGGCCTCCGGCTTTATCAATATATTCAAAACAGAAGCGAAGCTCGCAGATTTGAGGATGCTCTCAGGAAGTTTTGCGATGACAAGTCAGGAGGCGTTGGTATACTGGATAGGGAGTGCTTGGTGCAGGAGATTAAAGACCTTGCCAGAGAAAACGGTGTTCATGTTACCCAGACTTGAATTACTGGTATCCTCGAGGGCGAAGATTCTTAGTGCTACTAAATACTGAAAAGACCAATGCTCAAACTCCTCACTAAGTCCACCAGCATAATGCCGTGGCTTTCCGGGTAATCTTGATGAAACTTGTGACTATTATGCTTTTGACAATTTACTTTATAGTGCAAGAATGTTAACGAGTCCGTCTTCAATCTCCCTCCCTGTTTTCTTGGTCTCAAAGGAATAGCCAGCTTTCTTTTTGCCCCCAGATAAATCTCAACCAACTCTGTTTCCCATCGTCTTTCTCTCGTCTCCAGTCCCAAATTCTCTCAAGCATCCCTGTAGCAGTCTTGACATTGTAGCAACATGAGGCTCGCCAGATATTGTGCATAATATTCTTGACTTTCTCCCTTGTACGCAAATCTCGAACTCCAGCACCCAGAATAAAAGCAGGCCACACCAAACTTTTGATATGGAAGTCACTTGCTGGTATCTGAGACATGTGCAGTATGCCAAGATTTGTGATTCTAGAAACATCCATTTCTGGTAATGGTGGTTGGCCAGGTATTTCGCTAATGATGTAGTAGGCGTAGATACTGACAGCTGCTTTATATGCATGGGCGAGATGGTGTCTTGGTTCATGATACTGAGGATCAGGAAAGTCATGCGCCCAGGATCGCGGCGAGAAGTTGTCCAAGCTATCGAAAATTGAAGTGACGGTTTTATCCGCGTGGCTGGGATGATCCGATGCAGTACGTAGCGTATTCATGACGTGGAGTAAGGACAGGAGGTCTGCCGGACAGCCGATCCATGTCTGTTGCTCGGATCTCCGGATGGTATCTAGTAACCCCGCGTCCAAAGGCATTGGTGTCACACACAGTGAATGTGACGGGAGAAGGGTACTGCCAAGTATACCGAAGCTAAAACTATCAGCAAGGTAATGAATCCACTTGAACAGCGGCAGGTTCCTTACGTCGTGCAAGCGGTATCAAAATACTGCAGCCACGTTTCGGAATCACATTTCGCAAGTCCTTTCCGAATTCTGATGAGCTCTTCAGCTCCCCGTAGATGGTACTTCCAACCTTGACCACCGAACTCCACTACATCCAGATTGACGAACAGCAATACCGCGGCGATGACTGGATCAGTGTTAATCTCAGGTTGGACTTGTAGCTCATGTCTAAGATGCCTCAACGCCTTCTGTTTGTTGATGAGTGCTATACGTAGCACCTCACTATGATCTGGCTGTAGCTGGGCCTGACTGATGTCTAGCCGGTGTGCTATGTGGAAGGCTGATATGGATATCATTATATGCGATAAAGATTTGCTGGACGGCATTAAAGCCATGAGAGAAAGAAACGGATTGAAGGACGAGTTGTTATACACGACGCACTCTCTGGAGAGCTCTTGATGAACTAGCAGTATCATGAGTCGGTGGATGGAAGAACAGTCTCGGGGGCGACTTACAGTATCGTATGTAATCTCGAGAGCTTCTGGGTATGTCTTGTAGACCTATGTCCACTAAACACGGTTAACTTGGGGAACTTGAGTACGGCTCAGTGACAGCCATCTTAGCATGCCCACGAGCATCATCCTCGATCGTGCTGAATGATGCCTTGCACATCATCTTCCCTCTGCTAGCCATGCTGTTGGTCCACACAATCCTTCTTGCCCGCTCATACCCTGAGCAAGGTAGCAATGAGGATGCACAACGACGACAGCTGGGAAGGGCCCTGTCACATCTGACCCGCTTCTGTCGACAGGTCTTACACGAATTGGGCGCAGCTAGTTCGTCTTGCATTGTAAGTGGAGTTCAATACCTAGCTTCAGGTTTGTTAATTGATGTCTCTTTAAGATCGAGGCCTCAGAGGTGCGGGCCAGATAAAACTCGATATGTTGAACATAATCATTGTAGATGAGGTGATCGACGTTAAACCGCATCTGGAAGTCCGGACGCGAACCCTGTCAATGCGGGTTCCGATTCAATTCCGGGGCAAGATCTCGCCAGTCAGATCCCTTGAAGGATACAGCGTCTGGCTAGTCTTATATCCCTGGTCGAAAAGTTCGATATCTCTCATGCTGTTGATTGCTCGCAGGAACGACACCTCGAGATAGCGCAACGTCACCCTTCCCAGGTTTCACTGGTTAGTTGCACAAGCGCGCGATTTCGCCATCGCCGCTGATCTTGAGCAATTGACCATGTTGAGCCAAAGTCGGACTTCCATAAAACGCCCTTCGCATCCAGACTTACAATTCTCAAGGAGCTGAACTGCATGTCTCGACCCTAACCGCCAATATGGGTCTCAACCATCGCTCAGACGAACCTTCTGTAGTCCCATCACCTCTACCCCAATCAGTCGGATATGGCGTCGTGGTCGCTGCTGGTTTGGCATTTGCCTTTGGTGATTATCCTGCTGATGCCGAGTCGGAATTGAAGAAGGCTAACTATGGCAACAGGCATGATGGGCTTGACGGCGATTCTCAAAAAAACGTTGAACGAAGATAATTCTAAAGTCGAGACGTAGGTTCGCTCAACAGCCTCAAAGGCATAAGTTTTAACAGGACATTGCAGTTTCATGGTCGCCAACAGAACAGTACGGACCGGTCTAGTCGCGTCTGCCGTTGTTTCGGTATGTCACTCTCACTCCCTATTCAACACCAAGATATACTGACCGTACTATAGTCGTGGCTATGGAGCACCGCCTTGTTGAGTTGCGTCCTAGTAACATACAGCTACGGCATCAGCGGTGCATTCTGGTACGGCGCTGGATGCTCAACCGTTATTGTCTTCTTCGGATACCTGGGCACAGTTTGCAAAGGGCGTGTTCCCGAAGCACATACTATTCTCGAGGTCATTCGCATCAGATATGGTAAGTGGTTCGTGTCTTCGGATCTGGGCTTATCGTACTAAACCGTGTAGGGACTGTCGCGCATCTAAGCTTCACATTCTTAGCCATCGTGAACAATCTGCTCAACACGATCAACATGATTCTGGGCGCATCGGCAGCTATCTCTTTCCTGTAAGCTTCTTACCTCTAGTTATTGATTCGGTTGTAGGCCACTGACTCTGCCCAGAACCGGGATGCACATCATGGCATCGACCTTCTTGCTTCCTCTCGGTGTCGTCCTCTATACGCTCGTTGGTGGCATCAAAGCAACGTAATTCACCCAGAAATCATGCGGGAAGGTAGTTGCTAACCTTGATCTAGGTTTCTCACCGACTACATCCATACCTTTGCTATTCTCATTCTGAGCTGTTGGTTAACAGCCAAGGTCATAACATCGGAATCTGTCGGCTCAATCGGCCGACTATATGATCTCGTCGTCGCCGCTCAGTCGAACCACTCTGTTGAAGGCAACTATGAGGGCTCTCTCCTCACCATGACTTCTCAGCAGGGTATATACTTCGCTATCATCCTGCTGACCTCCAATTTCGGGGCCGTTGTCGTATGTAGCCCCTTCTACCGTGGCCCTAGTAGTGCCTAACATGATCAGATGGACACAGGATACTTCCTCAAGGCATTCGCGGCTTCGCCAAGCGCCGTTGTCCCAGGCTATGTGCTTGGTGGTATTTCCTACTTCAGCATACCATGGTCGCTTGGTACCATCGTGGGTATGGCTTCACTGGGGCTCGAAGCGCTTCCAATCTTTCCGACGTATCCAAGAGTAAGCAAAGCAAAGACCCTCCTCCCGCGATCGGAGACGTGACGTTGACGCGATGATAGCTTATGACTGGTGCCGAGGTCACAAATGGTCTTGCTCTGCCTTATGTGGCCGTCGCTGTCGCAGGGAAGGGAGGTGCTGTTGCGGTTCTACTGATGACGTTTATGGCTGTTACATCAACTTTGTCAGCACAAATTCTTGCCGTATCTTCAATCCTGACATTCGACATTTACCGCGTATACTTCAACCAGGAAGCTTCCAACAAGGAAGTAATTCGATGGGGACATATCGGTGTTGTCTTTTTTGGTATCGCAGCAGCAGCCTTCACAGCAATGTTCCATTACATCGGAGTTGATATGGGCTGGACTCTGTACATGCTTGGTAAGACCTCCCGTCGCGTGAACTCAATTTCTTGTTTACTAACCGTTTTCCAGGAATTCTAACGTGTCCTGGCGTTATTCCGCTCATCTTCACCATAATTTGGCGAAAACAGACTAAGCTCGCCGCTATTAGCTCCGCATTCCTAGGAATGGCAACGGGCCTCGGTGTCTGGCTCGGCTCCGCATACGCCTTTTCCGGAGAAGTGACGGTCGCCTCTACAGGTGGGACCCTACCCTGTATGTATGGCACCGTCGCATCTTTATTCAGTCCGTTGCTGTACAGTGTGGTTGTTACTTACGTGCGACCTGATAATTATGACTGGAGTCAGTTCAAGGAACAGAGATTGGCTGTTGAGCCTGATGAGAGCTCCAGTGGATCAGAAATCTCTCAAGGTAAAGGTATTGACCAGGTCACAACAACCGAGACGGCATCAAATAAAACTATTGACGACAACAACCAACGTCGATGGACTAAATATGCTCTCTGGTGGGCTATCGCTACGTTTCTTGGTCACTGGGTATTATGGCCATTGCCGATGTACGCAGCGAAATTCGTCTTCAGTAAACAGGTAATTTATTCTCTTCTTACCCTGCAGTCGTTTACTCCCCTTTTACTGTCTCTCATTTGAATCACATGAATTTGTTTTTAATTGATATCCTTACAGTTGTTCACCGCGTGGATCGTCATGTCTCTGATCTGGCTCTGGTGGACTCTCATCATGGTCGGTTTCTACCCGATCTGGAACGATCGCGGTCAGATAGCCGCAGTTACACGAAGCCTTTGGAAGTCTCGGTCATGATTCATCAGCATTTTCCAGACAGGCTGGTCCACAATCGACCGATGGCACTTGCTGTTATGATACGATCTCTGCAGCGAAAGCTCCGGACCACAGAAACAACAAATCGCCGGGAAGTGGGAACGTATTTTGAGTCAATCAACCCACATAACAATAAAATTGTTTACTCACACAAAATGCCTCAATTTCTTCCGGATAATGAATGACATGCCAAGCAAAAGCCCCGAACATGGCGTAGCTGAGCCTCCCTTGGCACTATCACTCCACTTTATGGATCAGATCAAGCTTTTAGTCAAGCTTTGGGGTGAAACATTTCTGACAGATGTAGACTAACTCCCAATAGTTGCATTCCACACCAGATTAACGTGACAGTCTTTATCCACTCAATGAGGAGTTAGTCAGGGGTTCGTGGTTGAACGGCAACGCTATAACGCTAGCGCCGCCCGTGCCCGTTATTCAATCACATTCCCTTGCATGCTTTAGATTCCAATAGCCTGGATCCAGGAACGCTTTTTATGGAGGTTTCTCGTTCTGGGAGACCAGTGAGAGGCGGACCGTCGGTACTGAAGATGTCTTGACTTACTAGTCGTCACTATTGGATGCTCGTGAACCAACCAAAGAGGAATGCTCTAATGCAAGGTACGCAATTCTAGACTTGCTACACTAACCCAAACAACACACCAAATGCCATTGTCGTATACAATGGATCCCAGTGCCGTTATCTATATATACTCGCTAAATCTTGACGTTTCTTTTTGTTTTTTTATCATCACACACTCATTCATTCATTCATTCATTCATTCGTTCTTTCTTTAGTCATTCTTTAACCATAGTCACTCGTTTTACTATGCGTCTGTCTTCAGGTCTTCTCGCGGCTTTTGCCTCGGGTGCTTTCGCCCAGAACTTCCCGCGCTTCTCCAACAGCAGCTCTTCTGCTCTTGAGTCCACCGCCACTGTTCCCACCACTGTCGACACTACCACCAGTGCCGCTCCCAGCTCTACCTCCGGCCCCGCCTCTCAGTCCGTTGATCTTGGCTCTGCCACTCTTGGCCGCGGTTCAGACTTCGTGACTGGCCCCAATGGCGAGACTATTGTGTAAGTATACCTTTACAACCTGAATGCAGGACAACTTCTGACTCTATCTTCAGTCGCATGTCTGCCGGAGCCAATGGTATCGCTCAGTTCAGCGCTAACCCATCGGTTACCATCTTCTCGGTTGGAACCAAGATCCAGCTCCGCTTCAGCATTAGCGTCAGTGCTATAATCGAGGCTCGCAAGCGTGCTTTCGAGGGCTGCACTCTCGATGTCACCCTCGACGGCGAGACTGTCTACTCCGAGCCCCTTGCCGACACCAACGGCGCCGCTGTTGAGCAATCCAGCAACCCTACTGCCCTTAACTCCGACAAGCCTGATATCCAGTTCCTCCAGTCTTGCGGTTCTGATCCCGTCCAGCTCGATGTCTCCAACCTCGCTGTCGCTGAGGCTACTGATGGTGGTCCTACTGATCTTCCCACTGGTACTGGTACCGAGACTGGTACCGAGACTGGCACTGAGATCGCTACTGGCACCAACTCCGAGGGCGCTACCACCAACTCTGAGGGTGAGACTGTGATCCCCACTGGCACTGAGACCGCTGTCGAGACCAACAGCGCTGGCTTCACCACCAACTCTGAGGGCGAGACTGTTGTTCCTACTGGTACTGAGACCGCTGTCGAGACCAACAGCGCTGGCTTCACCACCAACTCTGAGGGCGAGACTGTTGTTCCTACTGGTACTGAGACCGCTGTCGAGACCAACAGCGCTGGCTTCACCACCAACTCTGAGGGCGAGACTGTTGTTCCTACTGGTACTGAGACCGCTGTCGAGACCAACAGCGCTGGCTTCACCACCAACTCTGAGGGCGAGACTGTTGTTCCTACTGGTACTGAGACCGCTGTCGAGACCAACAGCGCTGGCTTCACCACCAACTCTGAGGGCGAGACTGTTGTTCCTACTGGTACTGAGACCGCTGTCGAGACCAACAGCGCTGGCTTCACCACCAACTCTGAGGGCGAGACTGTTGTTCCTACTGGTACTGAGACCGCTGTCGAGACCAACAGCGCTGGCTTCACCACCAACTCTGAGGGCGAGACTGTTGTTCCTACTGGTACTGAGACCGCTGTCGAGACCAACAGCGCTGGCTTCACCACCAACTCTGAGGGCGAGACTGTTGTTCCTACTGGTACTGCCACTGGCACCGAGGCTTCTGCTTCTGCCTCTGCTACTTCCCCTGCTGGTTTCCCCGATTCTATCGGTGTCTTCAGCCTCTTCGGCTGTGTCGGTTCCTCTGCTGGCTTCCCCACCTTCGAGCTCGCTGAGAGCAACGCTCTGATGGATCTTGAGCGCTGCGCTTCTCTCTGCACTGGCCGTGCCTACTTCGGTGTTTACGATACGTGAGTCTCAATCTATTGCTTCTGCTGCTCTTCACCATACTGACCTTTCTAGTGCTTGCTACTGTGGTGATGAGATCGATGCCGATAACACCAGCCGTGTTGATATCGACCAGTGTGACATTAAGTGCCCTGGCGACAAGGACCACTTCTGTGGTGGTGATACCCGCCGCAGCCGTCTCCAGGCCCGTCAAGCTGTCGCCGCCGGCCGTCTTCTGACCGTCTACGTCTCTGCCGCCGGAGCCGGCGCCACTGTCACTGACTCTGTTACCAAGACCGTTACCGACCAGACCACTGTCACCACCACCTTCACCACCGCCATCACTGGTGCCCTGAGCACCACCACCGCTACCGTCACCGCCGTCCAGATCTGCGTCAACGGAAAGTGCTACACTAAGGGCTCTGACCGCACCGTCTTCATCTTCATTGAGGTCAACGGCAGCGACTGTGACAACGAGTGGGTCTACATCACCGAGAAGTGTTCTTGCCAGGGTGGTAAGCAATACGTCCCCAAGTTCTGCTCCGGTGGCAGCTGTGCCGGAAAGATTGTCTACAAGACACAGGAGTGCCACGACTGGTGGAACCACGAGACCTTCTTCGTCGCTGCTGACTGCGGCTGCAAGGAGAAGACCGTTATCTACAAGCCTTGGGAGAACAGCTGGGGTACCCCTGATAACTGCAAGGCTGAGAAGGTCCCTGTCTGCTCTGGCCCCAAGTGCCCTGCTCCCAAGGTTCCTACTCACGGTGGTTACATTCACCCTCCTACCAACGGCACCTGGACTAACGGCACTACTCACTGCCCTGGCCCCCACTGCCCTAGCCCTGTTCCTAACTGCTCTGGCCCCAACTGCCCCAGCCCTGTTCCTCACTGCTCTGGCCCCAGCTGCCCCAGCACCACGGTTGTCACCCTTGTCCCTGGCTGCAGCGGACCTGGCTGCCCCGCCAAGCCCACTGGCACTGTCCCCGCCATCGTCAACGGTGCCGGCAAGCAGGTTGTTGGAGCTGCTACCCTCTTCGCTGCTCTCTTTGCAGCCCTTCTCTAGATGCTAGCATTTCCTTCACCTCTTCTTCTTCCGGGAGCCTTTTAGAATAATGACCTTCTAGTCGAGCTATTAATTAGACCTTGATTTTGCATGCCTAACCTTGACTTTCCTTAGTGACTACTAAATTCTCTGGCCGTCGTGACTAGTCAGTGTAGCTTGGACACTAGACTCAATTTGTGGAATAGTTCAACATGACTTGTATGGCTATTGAATGGTGGCGTAGCTGAGCCCAAATAGTGCGCTGTCAGTGCCACAGAGTCGGGAAGTATCGCCGAGATCTTATTTCTTGCTATCGAGGCTAGTCAACTGTGCCAAGCTACACTCTTACTACAGTACCGCTCCAGAATTCTACCGTAGAGTAGCAGAGCCAGTTTGTAAAGGTAATGCACCCATCGTGATTTGAGCCACAAGAGGCATTGTCTGAGCCCTAGTCTAAGTTTTGTCTGCTGATTTAAGCTCTCAGCCACAAGTTTCAACTGCGAATCATGTTAGCATAAGTGTATAGTGCTGGCATATGAGAGATGGGCAATGCTCATAAGCTCTCTAACTGATCCTAAATCTGTGACACTGCTGGAATAAGTGATTCTATGCTGAGAGATCCTGAGGTCCCTCAACCTTTCCCCTCGCGATACAACAAGTTGAATGCACAATTATGAAACTTCCTGCGCGTTATCTCAGTAAGGGAATGGTACCAAGTCTGCACCTGGACACTGCAGAGGCCTTTGGCAGAGCTTTCCCTGGGCGGTGGAGGTATGGCCCTTGTCTGATGAGAATAGCGCGCATTTATCTCGGACGAAGCATGCATCGTAGGCCGTGGTCCGTGCTTCGGCACTTGCTCTGATCTGCTTAGCACGAGTCACAATTATTCGGCCTCAAGTTTACGGGTTTAAATCTAACAATGCTGTTATTCTGAAAGTCTCCACCTGCTTCGTGGTTCTCCTGTCAAGATTCGTATTAATTCTCCAACAAATCTTTCAGGACCTTGCAAACCGCATCTCCAACCTCACTACATTTGGCACTACCCCCGAGATCCTTCGTCCTAATCTCCAACCCACCACCCTCCTTGGTATCCAGGACCTTTGCAACAGATTGCTCAATCGCATCAGCTTCTTTCTCCAGAAGAAACGAGTATCGCAACATCATCGCCAGACTCAAGATCTGCGCCACAGGATTGGCGAGGTTCTTGCCCGAGATATCAGGCGCACTACCATGAACAGGTTCGTAGATTCCTTTGCAGGATCCTTCACCTGGAACGCCAGCGAGACTTGCGCTGGGAAGAACACCGAGAGTGCCTGTGATGCCACCGGAGATGTCGGAGAGCACGTCGCCGAACGTGTTGTCGGTGTGGATCACGCTGTTGTTGAAGCGCTTGGGATCGAGAACCATTAACATGGCGAGACTGTCGGCGAGTTGATGCCGGAGATCAATGTCGGTGAGTTCCTTGTTGAAGATATCTGTAGTCGCACGCCTCCAGAGACGACCACTCGCAAGAACATTGGCCTTGTCTGCACTCCAAACAACGGGCTTACTTCCATCATTCGCCTTCCCACTGCTCGTGTGGAGGATTCTCGCAACGGCTGCACTCACACGAGCCAATCTTTCAACCTCAGGTCGTGAATAGACCCAAAGATCGGACGCTTCGTCTTCACTCTCTTCCTTCTTTCCAAAGTAAGCACCGCCGCAGTTCTCTCGAACGACGATGAACTTTGTCCCGGCTACAAGCTCAGCCTTGATAGGCGATGCGCTAACTAGCGATGGAACGAGAATCTCGCAGGGACGCAGGTTGGCAAATGCATCGAGGCGTTGACGCAGCTTTAAGAGCCCTGATTCGGGAGTAGGTTCGACGCCCGCCCATTCTGGACCGCCGATGCTGCCGAAGAGAACGGCGTCGCTGGCTAGTGCTTTTTCGAGGACGGCGTCTGTGACGGGAGTGCCGTGCTTGTCGATACTACATCCGCCAACGATGTCTGTGTCTCGCTCGAATCGAATGTCTGGGCGACTTGCTTCAATTATATCGAGGACTTTAAGGGCCTCGGCCATGATTTCAGGACCGACATGGTCGCCGGGGAGAACGAGGACACGAAATACTTTGCTGTCTGACATGATGGGAGTGAATAAGTTGAAGTGAATGGTGAGATAGGGCGAGGACCAGAAGAGGACTGCAGTCTACAAGATAATGGAAACAGTCTAGTATCTGGTCTGCCGATCTCGGACTGATAATTATGCCCGTTGGTGGCTAATGCCGATGCTGAATGTGATTATGGATACAGCCAAGATTTTTTTATTCCTGTGACTGCTAGATTACCCCGCACTCTCACTAGTTCTGGCCCTTGTCTTCATTGGTTTCCTCTTCTGGAAGGGAGTGAAACGGAGTCTCCCACCCAAGTCACTAAAACGTGGGGAAGCCAATCACCACATAAAAATACAGACCAAGCAAGATAACACTCTCCCTCTCACTCAATCTACACACTCAACTCTTATCAAAATCTCACATTCAATCATCATGTCAGGCCGTCTCCAAGGAAAGACCGCAATCGTTACAGGCGGTGCATCAGGCTTCGGCAAAGGCATCGCCACAAAATTCATCTCCGAAGGCGCCAATGTCATAATCACCGACCTCAACGAACAACAAGGCCAAGCCGTCGCCCAAGAACTATCCTGCTCTTTCACCCGCGCCGACGTGACCAACCCCGATGACTGGCGTCGAGTTCTTGACTTTGCTATTGAGAAGTACAAGCAGCTCGACATCGTCGTCAACAATGCTGGCGCAGCGTACTCCAAGAAGCCAACTGAGGAGGTCACGCCCAAAGATTTTGATCTCGTGATGAATGTCAACGTCAAGAGCGTTTACTACTCTACGAACGTGCTGGTGCCGTACTTTTTGAAGGGGGGGAGGCCGGGGTGTTTTATCCAGGTTGCAAGTACCGCGGGTATTAGACCTAGACCTGAGTTGACGTGGTATAACGCTTCTAAAGCGGCTGTTATTAATGCTACCAAGACGATGGCTGTTGAGTATGGACCCAAGCAGATTCGGTTCAACTCTGTTTCTCCTGTTGTTGGGAGCACTGGGATGCGAGTATTCCCTCACACTGGCGATGGGAAATTTCTAACTGGGCGATAGGACACATCTGTTTATCGGCAAGCCTGATACCGAGGAGAACAGAAAGGGCTTCGTTTCTACAATTCCTATGGGCAGACCTTCGACGCCCAGCGATATCGCCAATGCTTGTTGCTACTTGGCAAGTGATGAAGCATCTTTCATTACTGGTGTTGATCTCGAGGTATGGCCACTATCGATGAGCTACGATACACTGATACTAACATGAATCTTACAGGTTGACGGAGGTCGCTGTGTATAAGCTTAGGAACAGGATCAGCACATTTAGTTACTACTCTTTTAGTATTAATAAAAACAAAAATGTTATCCATCATATATCTCGTTGTCTCAAATGGATATCCAGTCCTTGAATGAGATCATTTGTACACCTGGTGCCACATGCAGTGATTTTCTGGCACATTTCGTCTTCAATGGCACACAGCGATATTGAGAATTGCTCCTCGATTGTTGGCTCAAGCTGCGCGCATCACGATTAGATTCCCTTCCTAATTGGCATTAGTGTCAGATGTTCCTGTGATGCTTCAGCGCGGGGTAAAAGCGGACCTTGCCATGGTCCCTGTGACGGGTCGGTCGGTACCTGAACCGGAAGGATATCATCGGGCGATGGACGGACCAAGAAACTAACTCTGACAATCTATCATATCAGGAACGCACCATCAGCCACCTAAAATTCCAACCATTTTCTTGAGATAATCACCCCTCAGACTCTCTTTTCCTCCCCTCCACACCACGAACACACATCATCATGGGAAGCCCACATCATCTGCCCTTCAGCCTCACAGACGATTCCCTATTTCATCCCCAGTCTCTCATCAATGGAGAATTCGTCACCTCAAATGAAGGCAAGACCTTCAATGTCATCGACCCAGGAACCGGCAAGACCTGGGCATCATGCCCAGACTGCACAGCATCCGATGTTGATGAAGCAGTGAAGTCGTCCTATGAAGCCTTCAAGAGCTACTCAAAGACAACACCGCGCTTCCGCGCTCAAACCATCATGAAATGGTACAATTTGATGGTCGCGGCACGAGAGGATCTAGCTCATATTCTTGTTCATGAGACTGGCAAGCCGTTGGAAGAGGCTCGCGGCGAAATTGACTATGCGCTTACGTTCGTCTGGTGGTTTTCCGGTGAGGCTGACAGAGCGCATGGGTCCTCGATCACCTGTGCTATTCCTGGTCGGCGCGCTATGACTATCAAACAACCTATTGGCGTTGCGGCTGCTCTTGTGCCATGGAACTTCCCTATCGCTCTAGCATTGCGTAAAGCAGCAGCTGCTCTCGCTGCGGGGTGCACAATGGTTATCAAGCCCTCGCCTGAGACACCCCTTACAGCAGTTACAGTAGCTTACCTAGCGTTGAAAGCAGGCTTCCCGCCCGGTGCCCTCAACGTGGTTACAACGTCACTTGGGAATACCCCAGCAGTCGCTGAAGCTCTTTGCCTGAACCCGCTTGTGAAGAAGGTAAGTTTCACTGGTAGCACGAGAGTTGGCAAGATTATCGCCAGTCTATGTGCCCAGAGTCTCAAGAAGACGACGTTTGAGCTTGGCGGGAACTGCCCATTCATCGTGTTCGATGACGCCAATGTTGATCAGGCCATGAACCAGCTCATGGCTCTGAAGTGGAGACACGCGGGTCAAGCTTGCGTCACATCTAACAGAGTATTCGTTCAGAGTAATATCTATGACTCTTTTGTTGAGAGACTTGTATCTGAAACTCGGAAGCTGAAGCTGGGCCATGGTATGATGAATGGTGCTACGTTGGGCGCGTTGACGACTACGCGAGGCCTCGATAAAGCAGAAGAGTTGTATGAAGATGCTGTCAGCAAGGGAGCAAAAGCTGTCCTCGGAACAGGGAAACGCTACGATGGGGAGGGTTATTTCATGGAACCGACTATCTTGACAGAGATGAAAGACGAGATGCTCATGACACACGAAGAGATCTTTGCGCCTCTCCTTGGCGTCTACCGCTTTGAGTCAGAAGAAGAGGTTGTTCAAAGAGCCAACGACACACCTTATGGCCTAGCAAGTTACGTGTTTACCAAGAATGTGGATAGGCTATGGAGAATGTTTGAGAACCTTGATGCTGGAATGATTGGGCTGGTAAGTCGATCTACCAGATTTCTTGGTAACGGGAAGCTAACCTATGGCGTAGAACGCAGGTAACAGCTCTTCAGCTGAGGCGCCCTTTGGAGGAATCAAAGAAAGTGGACATGGAAAAGAGAGTGGTAAGGATGTTGCTATTGATGAGTTCTTGATCACCAAGACGGGCACCATGACTGTTGAGGGGCAATACTAAGTTATGTAGTTTAATCTGAGACTTGTCAATATTTACCAACATTCTTATCACTTTGGGGTGCATTTCTATCCAAAGTCTGCTTTTTTGCTTGTTGAATGCTAATATAGAACTACACCTAAGCCAAAAGGATTGGAATTGGTGGCGATGGTATCTTGTGGGGCAATAAATCAGATGACAACTTAGAAGATCTTTACAAGTTTAGGTAAACCAGATAGACTTAAGCTAAAATTGACAAAATGCAATTCTTATTCCGTCTCCCTCTACTCCGTAAGTACCTATATATTATTGTACAGAGTGGCATCGCGCATCTTGGTCGGGTTTGTGGGGCTCCGGCGCGCCTTTATTTTAGCCACTGATCTTGCGGCGATGTCGGAAAATACTTTTACCGTTTATGAGCTTGTAATTTTTACTTTTTCGTAAATGTTTCGCTTAGCAGCAACCCTGTGCCTCTCACCCAAGCTTGTGCCCGATTACCCTAAAATAGTCAAATATCCATTCTTTGGGGATATATCATGAAGAAGTTCAGGCGCAGTGCACAGTCGCAACCAAAGCATGGCAAACCGGCCTCCAGCGGTGCATCCAAAGCCCCAGTTGCACCACCAGTCCGCCGCCCAGGATGGACTGGCCCAAGCTATCTTCACAAACCCGCCAAAAAGACGCCTACAGCAGTGAAGGATACTGCTAGCTTAATGGAACAGATTCAGAGTCTATCTGTTCAACATCAACAACTCATTCTTGACACAATCAGGACTACATTTCCTGCCGTGGACGAGTTCAGTGCTTTGAAACCAGTGTTGCGCGAGATCAGGGAGGCTCTTGAGCAAAAGGACTATTGCAAAGCGTTCGGGAGCGAAGAGTTCTTGGAGTCTTATACGATTCGCTGGAGTCCGAGTAAGGCTCTGACGATGGGAAATGTGTTGGCGTGGATGTGCAGTGAGATGAGTGAGGCTGCATGGGTTCAACAGTTTCTTCGCAATGATGGACAGAATCCTTCCAAAATTGTGTGCTTTGGGCGAGGAGGATCTGACTTGTTAGCGTCCGTGGCATTGCTAAAGCACTCTCATGAAAGCAAGCTCGACCAACTTCCCCGGCTTGAGTCATCTGATCACGACGAGAGCGCTATGATTGATCTCAACCTCATTGATAGGCACGATTGGTCAGGCATTGTCACGAAACTACAACATACTCTCACACATCCTCCTCCTCTTTCCAAATATGCAACAGCCAAGGCGCACGCTTCAAATATCTCTGCCATCCCATCTTGCGCTATAAATCTAGCAGTCAACAACATGGACATCCTCGAAAGCGACAGTACAACTATACGTGCGATGATTGGGCCGAACCCGGCACTGGTCACAGTCTTCTTCACACTCCACGAATTTTACTCGATCTCGATATCCAAAACTACAGCGTTCTTATTGAGGCTGACTGAGACAGCGCCTAAAGGAAGTTTATTGCTTGTTGTGGATAGCCCTGGAGCTGATGTGGTGCTACCTGGGAGCAGCGTCAAAGGAGAGGAAAAGAAATACCCGCTTGAGTGGCTACTTTACCAAGCTCTCCTACCGCCCAAGAGCGCAGATTCAGAGGAAGAGGAACAACCAGCTTGGGCGAAACTTGTCGAAGGTGGCCATGAGAAGGAGTACAAGTTACCTACGGGACTGAGATATCCAGGAAGTTTGGAGAATACCAGGTTCCAGGTGCACCTATTGCAGCGTTTATAGCGGAACGTTTATGATACCAGGTTTTCATACAGCAGCTATTCTGGAACCAAATTGCCACCCGTACTGGGGCCGCTGCGTAGTTCAACCACACACTCACTCGAGCTGATAAGTCACGGCTCCAGACGACAAGATCGTAAAACAAAGTAGACAAATAAAAAGAGTGCACTGCTTGGCGTAAAATAGAAAAGATGTTACGGAATATCCTCTAGAATGGTTATATAATGTTTAAACTAAATAACCGTGAAAACTCTTCTTGCACGTAGTTTGTTGCAGAGAATTGGATTATGGATCGGTTTATTTTGGGTAGTTCAACTGGAGAATGGAGGATCTGGAGCCCGGATTGTCAAAAGTGGATCAGCGTGAGATAGTGAGATAAGTGAGAGAGAGTATTCCCGTCACTATACCCGGCCATTGCGATAACGCTCTGGTTCCTGCGATGATGGATGCTGATAAGAGGAGTCGAGTCGAGCTCAGCGGAGCGTGCCACCCCCGCAAGCGTCTCCGGGTTCTGCACCAGACCAAACAAGGAAAGCAACCAAATCTTTAGTTCAAGTCCGCGCTATCTACACGAGTCAACAGCCAAAAATGCATGATAAGCAGATGCAACTTTAATCCTGCATCATTTGCATTGCGTTATATCCTCCATCCCCATTTCTGCCCCATAATCCACCTCATTCGGAAAGTAATCTATTATCCATCGCACATCACAGACTCTCATAGTCTATTCTCTCGTAAAAATGCCTCGGTCAAAGACCAGCAATTTCCCAAGGGGCAAGCCACGTGGTATCCGCCGAGATCGGGACTGTCAGACTTGCAAAGCCCGGGGCGTCAAATGCGATCTCAACAGACCACGCTGTCGACCCTGCGTCGAATCAGGTTACGCATGCGGAGACTATCCACAGCGAGTTGTATGGGCAGCGAATCCGACGCCGAAGCCAAGCAGGTCTGAGAATAGAAGCGCTGTTACTGAGAAGTCGCTTGCGACGGACCAGCATGAGGTTGTGGAGCACTTGTTGGCGTTTGGGAGTAGTTTGAAGACTGCGAGGTTGGCGACGAATGATGATCTCTGTGTGGACCAGGGTTTGGGGCTCATTGATCAGGTTGATTACTTTTTGAGGGCAAGGATTAGTAAGAGGAGGGGATCAACGACTGATACTGCTTTGCCGACCTCACCGTCATCGTTGTCGTCGGGGGAGGGAGCGCAGGACGACGATACGCTCATGTGGCATCGACTCGCAGCTCTCAAGAGTCTTAGTGAGGCTCTGAACACTGCTGATCCAGCTGCTTTTCTGGGTATAGCCGTCTTTGCTTTCTTCGAAGTCGTTTCAGATGGCGTCTTTGGTGAATGGGACTGTCATCTACGTGGAGCACGCTCATTACTAGACTGCCATTGCAGCAACAGTGAAGAGTTCCAGCAATTCTCAAGACGCTTCACAGGTTTAGAAGAGATTGTCGCCTACTTCGCATGGTGGGATACCATTGGAGCCCTGGTCAGACAGTCCACCAGCAACACCAAGAGCGGCCTCATCTTTGACGACTGGCATCGAAGTTCGCTGGGCCAAGACTTCTTCGACAGAGTTGGATGTCCAGCAGAGACATTCTGGCTCTTCGTCTCTCTGGTCCAAAGCAAATACTCCACCAGTTTATCAGAGAGTCTCACTCGAGCAATGGCGCAGCTTCTAAGGCTAGGAATGGACAAGACAGAGAAAGGGAAATGCAGTGATATATACCGCTGCGCCGCTGTGATAGCTGTTCTCACAACCTCTAATGGAAATGAAGAGACGGTTTCTGAGGTAACTATGGAGTTTGCTGTGGATAGGATCTGCCATATAATTGAATCCGCTTGCTCGAGATCCCGATACTATCCGCATATGGCTACACCTGCATACCTAGCGGGAATGAGAGCTACTTCTTCGGCGCAATGCAAGATATTGGGCACGTACTGGAGGAATTGTGAGATGGGAGATATTCCTCGATATTCTGGGGTTCACATACAATGTGAAGAGATATGGAGGAAAAAGGGCTTAATATGATGGAACACAACAAGTAGATACATATTAATGAAAGCAACGGTTATTGCCGTAGGTGAAATAACTAAATAGTAGTTAATACCCTCTGAAATGAGAAAGCCACTTTATAGTATAACAGCCTGTATTTGACCTGCGTTTCCTTATACCAAGCTTATACCAAGCTAATTTCCGACTCTACTACACTGTCAAACCAATCCATTTTACATGCCTGAAAGACTCCTATGCGCTGAAAGGTCGCATCATCTTTCTTGCAGATCATAAGCCCCTCCTCAAGTGTAAGTTGCAAGCAAAAGACCTCTTCCATACTCTCCTCGTCAAAGTCAAAAATTCCTAGCGCCACAAAAGCTGACATATCTTTATTCAGACTCCCTTCCTTCATCTCCCTGCGCCCTAGCACAACTGGCCGACGCATAGTACCCGCTGGCCTCTTTTGCTTTCGAAGCGAAGCGATGAAGTCGCTAGACGGTGTTCTCGTGAGCACAATGGCTTCTTGAACCCGTCCCAGAAACTGCAGCTCGCAAGACGGCATGTGTAGTGTGTCAGCTCCACACTGAGGATCTACAGTCCAACGATATTGCTTCGGCCTGATCAATGGGATTCCGCTTTCGCTCTCTGTCTTCATCCTCCGGAATTGCTGAAGTGTGAGAGGTTTGACGCCACCTTGAATGGAGGCCCAAGACCAAGAAGGCGCTCTGATCACGGGGGCGGGTGCAAAAACAGTTGGCAAAGGTCTCGTTGCGGGTCCAAAGAAGCTGCTCACTCTATAGCCAGGTCTCCATAACAAACATCGAACGAGATCACACTCCCAGAGACCGGCCAGGTAACGTGACTGCAAAGCTTTAGAGATAGGCGCAGCGATGGAGGCAAGGGCAGCGAAGATATCATGAGGGTTCGATAGTTGGCGTCGAGAGAAGTCGACTACAATCTCGTCCCAATACTGAAGGAGTCGATCTCGTATCACTTGCGTATTCCCGCTACCAATGTTTAGAAAGCTGTGTAGTAAGATAGATTTACCCTCCTGATAGCTGCGATCTTCCGAGTAACCGGAGCTTCGACACAGAAAAAAGAGCTGCTCTTTGCCGAAGAACACAATTCGACGGCTCAGTCTCTTTTCTTGACAACACCATCCGCGAGTCTCAGTAATACCATAGTCAGCGGATCTCAATGGCCCAACAATAACATTCCCACCTTGGCCATCTGCAAGAGGAAACTCGCAACAAGGAGCAGGTTGTTTGTAACTATTGGCGATGAAGGAGTTTCGAGCATCGCCTGATCTCCCTGCGGTGATAGTAAGGGTTGCGTGGCCATATACCTTCGCCATGAGTTTTGATTCACTTTCCCAGTCATCTTTGTCGCCTTGGATTATGCATAGAGCGTCGATCCAGATGTATTGGATACCCAACTGTCGGGATAACGCTATCGTATCGCGATGTGCGGCTACGAGTCGAGACTCGGAGATGCCTCTTAGCATTTCTTCCATCGTCTTGTGATTGAGGGTGAAGGTGTCTGTACCGGGCCCCCAGCAATAGGACAAGGCAAGATATTTCTCCTTCATGCTCTGGTCAGTAACGACAAGTCGTGGAAGGTCTCCTTGCTTCCTGTTGCCAACGTCGATGACCCTGGTGGGCATGTCATACGTCACATCAGCACCGCATGCTTGATGGGACTTTGTACATCTTTCGAGGAAACGTTGGATTAAGGTGAGATATGAGTCAGGCTCATAGTCTGCTGTGCAGATCCGTCCAGGTGTTCGAGAACCTGCCACAGTTCCCTCTTTGCTGTCAAGCATATTAGAGGCTTTTCTAACATCGTGCTCTAAATATAAGCGATCTTACCCATAAACGGTCAGGTTGATGTAGCTAAGTCCATGGCTGCTTTCCTTCACAGAAGTGATAGGGTTGTATCTCCCGCACGATACGATGATGCGCGGTTGAGTCAGAGAGGGACTGTAGTCTGTAAAGTGGACATAAATCCAAATACCCGGCTCAAACTTAGTAACCCCTTCCGGAACTTCGTCTTTGAGGACAGATTCAATCTCAGAACCTGACCATTCCCGTCTGAAGCTTGTCCAGCAAAGATGACAAAAGTCGCAGCCGTCTTCAGCGCTTTTCTTCAGCGAGGCGAGGTTTTGGTGGAACTCCAGGTAAAAACGATCTTGATCAACAGTAAAAGTGCGGCAGAAGGCGCATCGAGGCATGATTTCTGTGTCTAGTGGTTGGTGAAGACCATTATATTTAGGTATGTTGGAGTGGAGGAGGATATGTCAGATTGTCGGTCAAGAACGGCTAGCAGCTCAATGCAACCAGTTACATAACTCGTATCCTTCTCATGACTAAGCCAAGGACCTATCCAGATGATACAGGTATAAATCTGATATGATGGAATACATTGCAAGGGCCCCCATGCAAGAAAATTTGCTTAAGATAATTCTTACAAAGAACTGCAATGACAGGACTATTCCTGCTCCTGTAGATCCTTGATCGCTTGCACTGCTTCTGAAAGCTGGTACTTGGGCCAGCAGCACAAGAGATGGGATTGGAAGGCGATTGACGAAGCGGCATATTCAGTGATCCTAGGTGACGCGCTTCCGAAGCTACAATGACCATGGACCAGAACAAGCCTAGACGGATATATCTAAGAATCCACAGTCACCGTGGTTGCGGTACACGTCACAATCCACATCCATAAGTCCAGGGCGGGGCTTGGCTACTGTCAATCTCACCTCAGACAATCGACTATAGTAGCGCTGAAAGAGCTGGGAAAGGCAAACTACACATCACCTAAAGCATACAGACCGATAGACCTACTCAGTATCATAGGAAAGATCATAGGCGCAATCGTAGCAAGGAGGCTGAGCTACTTGGCGGATAAATACTAACTGATGCAGCCGACACATGTAGGCTATTGTAAGTTTCAATACCATGCTGAAATAACATAAAATCAATTTGAGGCATCATATACTTGGAGACTTCTCCTAAATACCTATAGCTTAACATTCACTAAAATGCTGTATAGCCCCCATCTACAGGCAAACCTATACCCGTCACCCAACTGCTATCTTCTGAAACCAAGAACAAGGCCGCTCTCGCAATGTATTCCGGACGGCCTAGCCCTCCGAAAGGGTGGAGTGCTTCCACCTGGGCTCTGTTCTGTCCTTCAAGACCAGCTATAAAGGCCGTTTCCGTATCTGCGCAATGTTACTTTCTGGTGGTGATAGGGTTTTGGGTAGCTGAACGTTAAATGAAAGTACTTACACCCAGGACACAGAGCATTCACGTGGATTCGGTGCGGCGCGCAATCCCATGCTGCTGCTTTGGTAAGTCCCATCACAGCATGCTTGGATGTCACATAACCAGCGATACCTGGGCTGCCAACCAGGCCAAAAACGCTGGCTGTATTCAAGATCCAGCCTCTGTCGCCACACGGGAGAGGATCTTGTTTAATCATCTGGGCGGAAGCATACTTGCATCCAAGCAAGACTCCAAGCACGTTGATATTAATGTCCTTCTCAAAGACGGTTTGGTCGAAGCTCCAAATAGGTTGGGGATCCTTGGCTTCCATGGCAACACCGGCGTTATTAACCATTCTTGAAATGAGGTCTGTTAGCAAGGCTATCATTGGAAGTTTGCGCAAGGTCGAGATGCCAGATCGTTGCAATATAAGAACAAGAATGAGAGACACACATATCCAGTCTGCCAAACCTTTCGACAGCATATTTCACTAAAGCCTCTTGTTCTTCGGATTTGGTAACGTCAACCTTGAAGAACTCGGCTACTCCGCCTTCCTTTGTGACCAGATCGTGCGTTGTGATAGCCAGTTCAGAGGCAACATCAGCACGGGCTTTCTCGGTCAAATCTGCGCAGATCACTTTAGCACCATTTCGGGCAAACTCTAGTGAAATCGCACGGCCTATGCCGCTGGAAGAACCAGTCACGATGGCTATCTTTCCGTCAAGTCGTCTCATAGCGAAGAATGGTAAGCCTTAAGGCGTCAATGTAAGTGAGACTCGATCCACTTGTAGGGATATATAGTTGATACTTGTTTCAATTGAGAGAATTGGCAATCGTGGAAATATACATAATGCTATGAGCGGGGTACACAACCAATTCTGCCGAGGATCTCGGGTCTTCAATATTACCATTTTGGGATTCCCGGATAAAAGACAACAAATTGTAGAGTCTCTTGCTGTTGCTAATCACAAAGAAAATTGTGTTCCAAGTAAATCCTCTCTAATCTTCAAAAAGCGTCTTGCATATTCAAGATGGCAGAAGGCGGCTGCTTATGTGGAAAGATCCGATACCGTTACACGGGGGAGCCTGTGGTACAGGTACGTAGTATCTGTTGGCAAATGCAGCTTTACTGGTATCAGCCCGTTGATTACTCAAGCAGGCCCTTTGTCATTGTGGCGATTGTCGCAAAATCAGCGGAAGTGCATTTAGCACTAATATCTTGGTCCCTCAGCAGAATTTCAACCTCAGTCAAGGCACACCAAAAGTGTTTGAGAAACTCGCCGATAGTGGAAATGGGATCACTAGCTATTTTTGCGCTGATTGTGGGAGCACTTGTTATCGACAAGGCGAATCCTTTCCTGGTCTGACTATCATCAAGGTCGGGACGTTAGATGCCTTTGATATGCAACCTGCACTTGAAGCATATTCTGATGCTAGGCCCCGTTGGCTGAGCTGCGTGGATGGTACAAAGCAAATGCCTGTTCCAAAGTAGCAAGATCGCCCAGGCTCATAGCGCGTCCGTTATCTCTATTGAATCGCGGGAGGAGGGTCTTTGCTTTGCTTACTCTTGGCAAGTGCAATATCAATCACAAAGATTGTTGATATGGAAATTTGCCTTTGACTTTTTCCCTTGTCGTGAGCCAACGTGAGCCAGAACGAACCGTCGTTGGTTTATCCTAAGCTGCTCCGGTGACCCTGTTTACCGGTCGCTGTGTTGTTTACAGGTTTATTAATGTACATGATTGGATTTCTGGAAGATTGCGTGCATCTTTCATTTGCCTCGACTGCCTCGCGTCGAGGTTCATTATCATTCTATTAAAGAAAGTTACGGTATGCCGAAAGTATCCCAACTGTTGAAGATGGGAATGTGGAGATACCTATGCGGAGTATTGAACGTGGATATGTTGTAGTGGAGGAGGACTACGACCTACTATGTATGTTACATTATCGGTCAAGAACAGCTAGGATCTCAGTACAGCCAGTTACACAATAAAGAGTCGTCTTATACCGAGGAATGATCTAAGTTACACGAACCTAGGATGTGTATTTAATATAGCGAAGACAGTCACTTGGGAACAATTGGCCAAAGCAGTAATTATTAGAACGGGCGGAATACTTAAATGACATCATATGACTGGGATGGTCCCCTCTGCAGAACTTCGAACAGTTGCACTGCTACCAAATCTAGCCTATTCAAATAGATAAAACCTAAGAAAAGAAGATAATATAGGAGATACTACTGATCGTTGGGATCTATTCCCGCTCCACCTCGAATCCTGATATAGGGCACATGAGTCTTGGGGAAATATGCCGTCACGGGAGCTACCTTGCACTTGAAATACGTCCTCCATGAAAAGGTCTTTTGAAGCCCACTCTTCTTATACACCTTGGTCTCCTTTTTGGAGCATGGCATGTCCATAGAGATTGTCGTCCATCGGTTATACGTCGCCACCTTGGTCTCCATGGCAAATGAGCCGTTGACTACCGAGAAGCCCCGAAGCTCAGCATCCATTATGAACATGCCGTTGCTGTATGCAAGGAGAGGGCCCGAAAGGTAATTTCTGACCAGGTCGTCTATTGCGTCTAGTTCGGCGATCAATGCGGCATCTGCTTCGGGTGAGTCGGATGTGAGTTCTGTATCTGGCCAGATAATATTAGACCAGCTGAGGGACCATACGTTCTCGTGGGCCTCTCCGGATGGCTGCTTGTATTGTTTGATGACGTCTTGGAGTGGTGAAAGGTCAATCTTAATCTGCTTGGCTAGCTCCGGTAGGCGTTGAACGATGGGCATGAATAAAAAGATGTCGCTGATCTTTTTGAACTTGCCCTGCTTGATCGTGGAGACTAGGCTTGCCGCCTCTGGATACTTTTTGATGTCTTTTCTGAGTTGAATTGTTTCAGATAACCTGTCGCGGAGCCGGCTAGATGGAACGTCAAGGGGGCCTCGGACTGGCCAGAGTCTGTTGGCGGCTTCAATAACCTCATCAACTGCAAGTGGTTAGTACTTGTGCAGTCATCGTAAAGGTACTACAGACTAACCCTGGTCGAGGAACTTCGGGACTCCCTCTCCCTGTCCATCACACCGATTTAGCTCCTCGCAAATCTTTTGCTTGCTTGAATCGAATTCAGCTCGCATGGTATCGTAGTTGGATGCCAGAGAGTCAGCCGCTTCATTAATATCCTTGACTCTTTCTTGGATACGAGTCAGGGCACCATCCCACTGTATAAGTACCGACTTGATTGGGGGCTCCATGAGTTGGAACGACGGGGCTAGATAAGCATTGACCGCGGCGCCGATGGAGTTTGCGTTGCAGTTACCGGATTGACAGGCAGCGACTACACGGGCGAGAGATTGGAAGACTGAAAGGTCAATCTGCGACGTATCAGTTCTGAGATATATAGCTACTCAGGGAGAATCAAAGACTTACATCCTTGGCTTGGGCGATGACCCAAGGAGCGATCGACTTGAGAACATTGGCAATCTCAGCTTTGTTGTTGAGAATTGGCAGACTAACTTTTCCAAAACACTTGGACGAGTTAGAGGAGAATTAGAGAGAGAAATGGGGATATAGTACCTTTTCAATACTAAGGGTGTCGTCTGCGACCTTTGTGGTAGCTGCGCTTATCTCACCCCGAATTGACATGGCCGTGAAGGAACCTGTCGTCGCGAAGGTTTGCAAGCGAGTGAAGCAACCGCAGATGGCCTCTGATGACTTGATGAACTTATCCCCCAGACTCTTGCCAAGCGCCCGACGAATCTCATCGCAGAGATCGATCTCCTTGGTAAGAATAGTTAGACTGGACGGGATTTGTTTCGATTTCTTCTCCCAGCCTGAACCAGTGTCAGTTAACTCTTTTTATCTTTTGGATGATAAGCCTTACCGGGGATGCAAGTCCATACTTTACAACGCCTGAGGGGCTTTTTGAGGGTTGGGCAGCTCCGTGTCGCCGATACGCGGCTTTTGCATTTGTTCCACTGCCTGGTATTAGTATACAGGCTGTCTACAAGTGCTAATTGAATCTGGCCTACCGTGGGGACCTTGATGGTTCTCATATTGACCTTGACACCACTTGGCACGATGGTTCTGATCTCGCATGTTGAAACTTCTTTGACACCGGCGCAGATGACGGGTAGAGTGTTGAGCCCAGCGTTCTGGGCAGCTATCACTTGTGCCAGCAACGCAATGGGCAGAAGAAATGGTAATGGAAGCCACATCTTGATAGATTAGTCGAAGAGCTTTGGCGCTTCAGTAACACAGGGGCTGGTCATTATCTTAAATATTCCACAAATCTCAACGGAGTCTAGGGGTTACTGACCAGCCAGTTCAGCTGAATCTTTGTGGCCTAGATGGCGCTTTTAGAACAGGACAGCGCCATACAAAGGGCCATTATAGTTAAATCCAGCCCTACGAGAGACAACAGCCCGCAAGGAGACAATTTTAGCGAACCGCTAGAAACTAGAATCGAGAGGGCAGTGCCAAGGAATCTACATTCAGCCCAGCTATGGCCTGTTAGAGGGGGCAAATCAGCCACAACTCTCCACAGCTCCGAGACAAGAAGCCACAAGAGCCGGAAATGGCTTTAGTCTAGGCTTGGTAGTTGCGTTCGAAGGAAAAGGGTTTCGTGGCTTATTATCTGTCCGAAAGCGTTTACTGGCATGATTGGCAGCGCCTATACTAGTTGGGTGGCTAGGGAAGGGAAATAAATACGGTAAACGGCGGCGCAAAACAATGGTACTTATGGCGAAGTTGTAATATTGAAAGACTCTCATCCTAGGCAAGGCAAATGCCTCCGCCTAGCTTGACCCTACGGTTTTCTTCCTTTACCTCTTACTATGTCTCTTCTTGCTTGGTCTCTTCTTGGAGCTACCGTAAATACAAAAAGAAGGAACTTTCTGCTGGAAGAGGGGGTCTTCCTTGATCTTCACAGAGGTTATTCCATGACTATCGATAGCGAGGGAGCCTGTAACTATATCTATCCGTGGCGGGAATGTTGCGCAACGGATTAGGACGAGACAGATCACCGCATCCGCACCAGATGTAGTTTTAAGTTCTGTCTGACGATTTAAGGTCTCAGTCACGAGTAACAACAGCAAACAACACCCTTTTTCCCGACTGAAGCGGTGAGGAGGAGCGTGGCAAGCAAGCAACAAAGACCACGTATTGCAGATGCGGGAGGCCGACCATCAACAGGCATTGCCATTAGGCTCCAGGGATAAGAACAGTGACTTCTGATACTTTTAAATAACCTTCCAGAGCCGATATTGCACCCAAACATCACTGACTTCCTGCCTATCTCAAATGATCTTTACTTGTGGTACATGCTGGAAAGCAGGGCTTACTTAGCGATCCCTTGACCTAATCCTACAGTCCATAGTAGTAGTAAAGCGCGTCCTATAGAAATCATACAACAGTGCTGTTGTGTGCGTATGGGACGATGCTGAGACAGCTGTCACATTGGTGGGCCTCCCACAGAGTCTAGAGTGACGGTGGATGCGGCATCCCATGTAGTGAATGTGATGTGTAGTAAAAGCCTTAGTATAGTCTCAGTATGCATGACTCAGAATATAGCGCGAATCCTAAATATCAGCCACGTCATTTGAGGGCAAGTGGTTGGAACTCGACCCAACAGGGCTTGACATATTTCGTCACCAACCAACAACCCCTCAGTGCGGTGAAAGCCAAATCACGCGAATGAGGACGACAAAGCTGGGGGTGCAGACCTTGCCCTCCAAGTGAAGAGATCATTTGAAGAGGCTGGTGTTGATGAGAGCTATGATCTGATAATTATGGCTATCGGAGGTCACACCCTGGCCACAGGGCTCCGAGCCCACGAAATTTATGATCTGCTCGCGACTGACGTGAGACCGGCGAAACCAATCAATATGCAGCCATGGGAAACTATGATGAAACTTGCATATGGAGCACTTCGACCACGACATGATGCAGATGTTCTGTATGTTGTGCAACACACATAGTCACTTCGCCAATCGGACACTGGAAACTGTTCCCCGTAGCTACACGAGCTAGCCCTAGCAAATAGTGTACTAATACGAAGCGCGTATAGCGGCCTCCTTCCAGGCCGGGCGTTTTGCTTGAAGATGAGGGAGTCGCCACGCGTGTTTGCTGTCCTCAATCATTACAGTGAACACGCATAGGTCACTATTGCAGTGATTTGATCTCACCATGACATCTAGAACTGTTGCTGAGATTAACAGGAGCGATATTGAAGACTGTAGCCCTTGCACCCCCGCATCAATCACCGACGTCAGACATCTATCGTCCTACAACTGGATTGAAAGGCCTACTGCCACGATCGCCGTCCCGGGGAGCCCACCTCGCTGGTCAGCCCCCAGGACCTCCAAGCAGCTCCAAAAGGATTCGGGCTTATATTACATAAACCAAAATGAAGCTCGCTATCCAGAAAGCTCACTAGAGCCTCTCTTCCGGGCTTTGTACCTTACACACCCTGCTTTCGATGTCTGCTCTATTGATGTTGTAACCGATCGAAACAACATCCGCAAGCTACTGGCTTTCATCAACTCTGACCTGGACCCTGGTAATCTTGAGCCATTTACTATAGCGGTCGAGGTCATCGGGACAACCGCGTTGTTTCTCCGAGATGAGGCAGCGGTTACTAGGTATATCGCGCCAAATGAGTTTCGTGGCTTTGGCCATAAATTCGAGGAAGAATACACCGTCAACCAGGTCAATGATAGCACTGGTCACCATAGGATCATCGCATATCGATTTTGTGATCTAGAATTTGTTGTACGCTACGAAGCTGACGGATACGTGGCCACTGATCAGATCGAGGGGCCTCAAGACGACCCTCTACTCGATAGTATGAGAGATTTATCGTTGTCCTCAGCTACCGGCGCCTCAAGCGTCAACCCTGTCCCATCTAAACTGGTTATCACGGGAGAAGGTCGAGTAGTGCCGCCAGAGTCAATCCTTGAAATCAAAACCCGAGCGATTAGCAGACACTTGCCTATAGAGGACGTTGCAGCCCAGCTCTGGGTATCACAAACTTCAAAGCTCGTCCGAGCATATCATTATCGAGGGAAGTTTGAAGTACCACAAGTCGAGAACGTGGAAGCCCAGGTTAAGAGATGGGAAGAGCTGAACCAGAATGACCTGAAGCGTTTAGCGTCACTAATCAAAACAATATCCAACTTGGCCAAGCAATATGGGGGGAAAGTTACTGTTAAATATGATGGCGGAAGCAAATTGTCACTCTACCAGTCCGAAAAGGGAGACATGTTGCCTCACTTCCTGTATTACAAATGGGAAGAAAATGGCAATACACAAGCGAAGACAACAGCGAGCAAACAGGCAGAGGGAATTTTGCCAGATACGGTCGACCGGGGTCAAGGGAAGACCACTGAGATGACCAAGGCAAGATACGGCGATGGATCTTACTCCGAAATGATCAGCTACGGAGTTGATAATGGATTTCGACAGTTCTTTCGCCGCATGCCCATGGAGCTCTCCCAGTATCATCTTCTTTGCGACACCCTCGATTCTCTTGCTATTGATGTCACTGAAGGCCGCACCATTCGTGACATCATGTACGACATGAGGAAAGGTAAGGACGATTGGGATCCAGAAGAGGGAACAGAGATCAGAGGACAAAAGGATATCGCGCGAGATTCAGCCTTTCGACTTTTGTACATGCTTATGCAATCTCACGTTGTAGACACCAACATGGCGTACAATGCGGTATTATTTGTGGTTTCACACCATCGGATCTTTCAGCCTAGGACTCGAAAAATAGTAAGGGAGGCTTTAGAAGAAAACTATCTAGTGTTAGCAAAACAGCAAGCAGGTCTAAATAAGTAGCCTATTTAAAAGTCCTTTATAAGCTTAAATAAAGATATAATAATAAAGTCTAAAAATATACTTTTTAAATTTAACTATTTATTTTAAGACTTATTTTACTTTTTAATTACTATAAGGTAAAGGAATATATAACTATAGTACTAAATATCTAAATAATTATAATTCTTTAGCTAGATATTAGGAAATTAATTATATAATAGTTATTAGTCTATTAATTTAATTATAAGGCCTTTAGGTTTAAAGTATTAATATTATATAGCTTATTTTAATATAATAAACTTAAAGTTATAAAAGAAGTAAGTAATATTTATATACTTATTACTATAATATAGCTTTTATTATACTACTTAATAATTAGTTAAATAAAATAACGCTTAAGCTTTAGCCTTTAAGATACTATTTCTTAATAAGCTAACTTTTATTATAGCTAGAATGGTTATAATAGTACTAAATATAAGTCTAAATATATATAAAATAAGTAAGTATATTAAAGTCTTTTAATACTATTTCTTTTGATTTAGTTAAAACCCTTTTACTATATAATATTTTAAATTAACTATAATTAATATACCAGGTACCCTACCGCTAACTAGTTTATATATACAGATCTTGACTTTATCTGTTTGAGCTTAACTATTAGCACCCTGCTAAGCATCACATATTTTCTATTTCCATTATGGATGTTGCTGGTCTTGCAATTGGTATCGTTGGCCTCTACACGGCATGCCGGGACTGTTACGATTTATTCACCACCGTGAATGCAGCCCAGGCAGAATCTTCGGCTCACCTGCGCGAGCTGGAAATTCAGCAATCGATTCTCGAAGCCTGGGGTTTTCATTGGCAGATTCAAAATGAAGACGACAACGACCCAGGACTGTCCGCTCGTGCCAGGCGAAAGAGGTCTAAGCTCCATCAATACCTCTTGAGCAACCGCTTCAAGGCTGAAGGGGTTTTCAAAACCCTTTCTGCACTTGCAGATACCCTGTGCAACCGGGAAAAGCTCATCAAGAGGTATGGTTTCCAGCTTCAACCAACCCAGACCATCCAGAATGAATCACAATCGACGTATGATGTCCAATTGCTCATCCCGGATGCTAAAATCGAAGATGTCGAGCCGGTCCTCCATGAAGTCAGAAACCGCCTCTCTGTGCTTAACAAGCTTAAATGGGCTTTGAAAGACAAGGAAAAGTTCAAGAAACTCATTGCCGACTTGAGATCTCATAGCGAATCTCTCTATCGCCTTTGTCCCGAAAATGCGTTCGAGTCTATGAACATATATCTCACTATAGAATGCCTGGCTAGACAGGAGTCGCCAGATGGTCTGAAGTGGACTTCAACACTCGCAACCGAACATGCAAAGGTCGATGAAGGGTCTCTAGTGCGACAGGGCTACGAATTGCTGGCTTCGACGGCCACGCTGAAAGCATCAGTGAATAAAAATAGAGAAAGGAAGGACTTGAATGACAGGAGTCTTCCCAGCATTGACGAGATAAAACCTGAGATGAGGTACTTGGGAAAGGGCCTTGCACTATTCGAAGAGCAAGTCGTTTACGTAGAAATGCGAGATTACCGCGGACCGCCGCTAGATTTCACTCAAGAGCAAAAACAACGATTGAAGCAACGTCGAAAGCGGGAGCGCTTCATGTCATCATTGTCATCTTACAGAAAGCCTGACTTGAGTCAGATCGACCAATACAGCAGCAGTGATGAGGACGAGCCCATCGAGAGAGTCAGACCAGCAGATCCTAAGCTTCACGCCCTCATCATGAACTTCTTCGACACCTTTCAGGGCGCCAACATGATGAAGAATGTATATGGCTTGGATATCGTTGGTATGATAGACCACACCGAAGGCGACGACAAAGGCCATTGCAGCATTTTATACAGGCTCCCCGGCACGATTGGCATGCAAAGCCGTGAGCGGCCTGCGGAGAATCTCAAGCTACGGGCACCTGTGACGTTGCAGTCGCTCCTCGGAACCAGGCAGAAAAAGGGGATCCGATCTATGCTCGGTGCACGTTTCGAGCTAGCGAGAAAGCTCGTGCGTGCTGTTTGCCTCCTCCACTCTAGTGGCTGGCTGCATAAAAACATACGCGCAGAGTCAGTCATGTTCTTCCCCGAGCGTGTTAATACCCTCCAAGAGGATCGATACGAGGTCAAAATCGAAATCGATGTGTCAAAACCTACCCTGATGGGCTACATCTTCTCACAGCCGGACGATATGATCATCCAAACAAATCCACCATCTGAGCCTGCGCCAGAAGCGGATAGGCCTGACTATCCGATATCAGTAAAGAGTATATCAATGGGCACCGCAACCTGGGATAGTTCTTACGACTCAGAGTTGAGACGTCGAAAACGAACTCCTCGAAGTGCCAGCATATACGGTCGCAATAAACTGGGGAAGATAGCCTCAACCGACGAGGCAAAAGAGACAAACATCAGTGGCTTTACACTTGACTACTATCAGCATCCTGCGAAGCACGCAGATCCCAAGCGTCTATATCGTCACGCATATGATGTGTACTCTCTTGGGATTCTTCTCATTGAAGTCGGCCTATGGAAGAACTTGGAGAATGATGATGACACAGACTCAGACTCGGACTCGGACTCAGGGTATAATAAAAGTCCCTATCGTGATGAAGAGGACCATTATGAGCGAAGGCGAAAGATATGTCGAAAGTATCTCGACCGCTTAAGATGGGAATGTGGAGACACTTATGCGGACGTTGTGCTTAGTTGTCTTATGATTGATAGCAGTGATGATGAAGTAGCAAAGGCGAGCGAGCGGGAGCTCTGTGGGAGAATTGTGGCTGACTTGGAGAACTGTCAAGCTTAGTTCTGTAGAAGTCCACGGGTTTGAGATACAAATCCTAGTACATATTACTACTCAAGATAAGCACCTTTTCCTCGATGAATAGCGTACCATTGATAATCCGGGCTTCTATGGGTGGCTATGCCCAAGGGCAGTCTTGCATAGGTAAAATCAACTCTGGGTTAGATTATCTAAGCGACCTGCTTACTCAGACTACAACTACTAGGTAGATAAAATAATGGCTACTGTAATAAAGTTATGGGAGCTTACAAGAGGCTTAAGCCCCCCAGACATAAAGTTAAAGGTTATATAAACATATACGGATATTATCCTTATCGCCCCCACTGTTACTTAGGATCTTACTTTGGCTGAAAAGTTAGACGCCGTGATGACTGATCCTAGAGGTATATAAATAAGTGCTGCTGCTCTTCCATGTCTACTAGCATCCCTGGATTTGTGGGCAAGAGTCAAGATGATTGGCCAGGCACTCCTGAAAATGCACACCCGTGTATGCTTATCCTCTGGAAAATCGCCAGTGAGTGGCAGAAAGCTATAATCATACAGGGAAATGTGAAAGATCTGAAGGCTAATAAGGTGCTCGGTACAGGTTCTCAGCATTGGTAGTTCACTTCGCTTCCTTACAACTACGAATAACCTTCTCCAGCGTCAAACAAAGAAAAGTCCGTTTATCCCATCTAGGGCGCAGCAAGAGATTGCAGAACTCTGCAGTACGAAGAACGTTGTTGTGTCAGCTCGGCCCGGCTCAGGCAAAACGGCCACAGCTGAAGCTATCGTAGCTGCCCACCCGGACAAGCGAGTAGTTGTGCTCACCTACTCCAAGAGACTTCAGCTGGAGACCTATCGCCGGCTTTCCACTTATTCTAATTGCGAAGTCTACACTTTTCACGGCATGGTCAGCATATTATTTAGAATATGTGTCCAGGATGATGCTGTTCTAGTGGAGCAGAGAAAAGAAGCTCTTAATTATAGGGAGCCCCTGCCTTTATATTTAAAACCTTTATAGCTTAATAAAGCTTTATTTAACTAAAAACCTAGTCCTAAATATAACTAAATCTTTAATAAATAAACTTTTCTACCTAATATTACTAGCCTATTTAACTTTTTCCTTGTAATTATTACTAGCTACTTAACTTATTATTAAAAATACCTAAAGTTTATCTTTTTAAATTAAGTTTTTAATTATTAAGACCTAATTTTATATAAAGGTCTTATTATATAACTAAGGAATATATTATAATCTAGATAACTAATTAGGGCAAAATATATACTAAAATAATGAGAAAAATTAGGGCTTTTGATTGGTGTGCTTACCTAAGTAAAATGTGGAGAATTAAGCAAGTTCTATATATTAAAGTTTTTTCCTATAAACTTTAAATATTTCCTACTAAGGGAATATTAGTTAGAAAGTTACGTAAACTGGGTCACGTGATGATTATATAATGAGGATTACATATATAAGATTTTACCCCTTAGTTGGATAATTCATAATACACCACGAGAAACCTTACTTTCTTATTTAAGCTTTATAA